TATATGCCCCTTCTTCTGGCATTTGTAGCAGACGGAGTCTTTAAATTTGCACATGAAAGGTTTGTGCTTACCGGTGCAACGGTGGCAGTTTTCGCTGTCTGGTTGCTTCTGAGGTTTCATAGTTGTCGCTTGAATTTCACCATCAGAGTCAACTTTGCCGCTGTGTTGCCGTTGCTTCCTGATGTCTCGCTGTTGCTGTGACGTTGCCTCTGCAGTGACGGCCAAGTCGTAGGCTACGTCGAACGTCAAGTTCCGTTCAGCCAAAAGCCGTTGCTGCACTCTCTCGGGCGCGATGCCGCAGACGAACCTGTCTCGCATCATGATTTCAAGTGGCAGTTGTCTATCTCCGAAACCGCAGTCTTCTGCCAGCTTTCGGAGCGCTGTCACGTAGTCTGCAACTGTCTCGCCGGCGTGCTGGTCGCGCTTGTAGAACAGGAACCTTGCGTAGAGTTCCGACGGCCTTGGGTGCAGATGAGCCTTGACCGCTGTCACTATCGTGGTATAGTCTGCTGCTGTCGGTCTCGTCGGCTTCACCAAGGTTACGATTAAGGAGTACGTTTCTTCTCCGCAGCAACTCAGCAGGACGGCACGCTTCTGCTCAGGCGTTGTCAGACTGTTGGCTACGCAGTACATTTCGAGTCGTTCTACGTACTCGTCCCAGGAAGCGTTGGTGCTGAGGCGATACTCGCTGATACCGCCCACAGCCATCCTTGAGGTCCGGACAACGGACGCTTGCCCGTTGTCTTCGTCCGTAGAAATAAAACAGCGCAAACAAACACAAGGACAAGTAGAAGGAGGGACACAGACACAGCGCTGACTCACGACTTACTTTCTTTCTCATCTTTTTAAAACATTTCAACATAAGAAAAAAAGAAATGAAAAATAAAAGAAGGAGAATCCAGCATGTAGGATATCCTCTCTGTCATATGCCATCTGAGGAATTTTTTACACAAACTAAACATTATATACCATTACAACAAAAAAAACAAATTAAAAAAAAAAAGCCAAAAACCACAGCGCGAGCCCTAATGCTCTGTGCGTACCTGTCTTGCACGCGGACTCTTGGTATGTCGGAACCCTTTCCTGGCTGCATGTAGGCACGCGCCTGTGGTTATAGGATCACTCCCATGGAAGCAGAAAGAAAGTGTTAAAGAGACGTGCCTAAACTCCGAAGAAACTCGAACTCTTCACTGTATAACGTCACTGACTCTGAACTGACGCATAGATCGGGACCGTGTTGTCGAATGTAAAACGCTTCATGAATTTCCCTTGCCATTTTTTGTGAATGTTTAGCCAAAATTTCAATGCCACTTAACCGAGGGGAACAACCACACCTATCACAATGAATGGCTAGGTGACCCGAAGGTGAAGACCTCAAAGACAGATAATGCTCCCGAGCTCGAACATTAATACATCTGCCCGTCTGCCCAATATACACTTTCCCACATGAAAAAGGTATTTTATAAACGACCCCCACAGCACAAGCTACATATTTGATGCGATGGTTTATTCCACACCCTACACGCTGAAGTCCTGCTCTCTCAATGGACGCACACAAACGGGATAGCTTGGAAGGTGCTGAAAAGACTATGGGAACTCCGTATTTAACCGCCACTTTTTTGATCCTGTGGGAAAAACTGTGCAAATATGGTATTACCACCGGTCGAGAGGCAGGCTTTTGTCTAACATTGTCAAGTATGTTAAGGGGATTCCTGAATAATTTTAAAAGTGACTCCGCTACCCCCACTATGACAAGTTTCGGGAAACCCGCTTTTGTTAACCTATCTACTTGACACAGAAAGCTGTTGAAACTTCTGTGAACACAGGATTTCAATAAAGAAGCTCTCAAACATGATTTTGCAATAGCTCTTTTTTTACAACTTTTGAGTGCGTTGATTCATAGCTAAGGAGGGACTTTTTTGTTCTAGGCTCATAAGCCCAGCATAGGTGACTCGTTTCAAGACGAATGTTGAGGTCCAAAAATTGCAAAGCTTTTTTAGTTGGAACCTCATTCGTAAACCGCAGACCTCCAGAGCACTCCCGAAAGGTGTCTAATAACTCTGAGACCAAGTCAGCACTTCGTGAGCCCTGCTTAGGTTTAAACACCACCAGGTAATCGTCAACATACCTGAAGATTTTCAAAAAACGATCATCTAACCTTTCTGCAATAGCACAATCACAACCTGCTAGGTAGATGTCACTCAATATAGGAGCAACACTAGACCCAATGCAGATCCCGGATTTTTGCAGAAACGTGTTGCCCTCAAAAGAAATAAAAGTGGACTCTAAGTAAAAGCGGAGAAGATCCAAAAACTTTTCCACAGCAATACCAGTCGAATTCTGGAAGGCAACAGAACCGTTTAAGTCAATGCAAAGTTGAACCGCTTCAATGAGACCTCCATGAGGAATAGAGTAGAAAAGGTCTTCCACGTCAATTGAAACCAGATCACAAGATCCAGGGTTGTCATTGCTTAGATAATCTACCAATTCGTCAGAGTTTCGAACTAGAAAAGGATCAGTTAACTTCAAAGAAGATAGGTGATGCTGGAGATACTTCGAGACATGCAGCTGCCATGACTCTCTCTGTGTAACAATTGCCCTGAACGGCATAGTGTCCTTATGGGTCTTCACAGAGAAGAAAACCTCCAGATTGAGACCACGAGCCGCCTGGACAGACTTCCTGAGCCTTTCTAAACCAAGCTGCTTACAAAGTTGCTCAGCACGCGTCTTCACCTTGTTTAGTACCACATCTGGAACAGGTTTTTTTTGTTGTAATGGTATATAATGTTTAGTTTGTGTAAAAAATTCCTCAGATGGCATATGACAGAGAGGATATCCTACATGCTGGATTCTCCTTCTTTTATTTTTCATTTCTTTTTTTCTTATGTTGAAATGTTTTAAAAAGATGAGAAAGAAAGTAAGTCGTGAGTCAGCGCTGTGTCTGTGTCCCTCCTTCTACTTGTCCTTGTGTTTGTTTGCGCTGTTTTATTTCTATGTTTACAATGCATCACCGACTAGCCCACCTCCAAACATTACTGTCTTCGTCCGCTTCGTCGCCAATTGTTGTGGCTTATGCAAGCCGAGTCATGACGGCAACATACATCTTTAATGGAGACAGGCGTTCTTCAGTGACCATGGCTGGTTGCCGATGATCGAACACACGAGCGCGGGGGCAGCTCGCGCACCTCAGAGTTCACGCGCCGGTCACGCCTACCGGTCATGCAACCGCGGCATTGTTGCACTATATTACACACAACTACAATAAAAAATTGCAGTGGCTTAGCTCGACTATGCCAGGACGTAGCGTAAGCCTATAGGTTCAGCTGGTTATTCTTAGCTTTCCTGGTTGTCTAGGATTAGCTTGATTACCATGCTTACTGCTGCTTCAATGACACACACAGGGTATAGGCATTATGTGACTACTTCGGGATCCGATGAGTTAAGCTTCTCCGCTCTTCTTGATGCTGAGGAGGCGCCGTGTAACCGAGCTTTCGGTTGCACGTCAAAAGATCCCCAAATGGTACAAATTAATCCTCAGTCCTCCGCTGGGGCGTGCCAGATGCCCGTCGTTGGTTTGGCCAGCTGTGCGCCTTGTTGTTATATATCAAGCAACCAAGCTGCCGCCCAGAACAACCGGACAGCGCGATCCATGATCTCGAGCGGGTGCATGCGCGCGGCGCGTGCGTCGGAGATTGACCTTGGCGCCATACCAGTCCTGCCCGTTCTGTCACTGCTCTTCGCGCATGCGCAGCACGGCTCTCCAGGAGCCACGCGAAACTGCTCAACCTCGGCCAGTAGCTTACGATACAAAAGTATAGCCAAGAAAAAAAAAAGTAGAGTTATTGGCACGAACCCCTTGAATTCTAGCGCCTACCAATCGGCAAACCACGTGATTTGCTATACTTTGTCCCAACCAGTCCCAACTCAGCTACGTGGAAATTCAATATGGCGGCTTTCAGGAAAAAAAGAACGACCAGGAGGAGCTTGAGTTTTCATGCCTTTAGCGCGAGCTGCCTACTTTCGAAAACCTTTAGCGTCTTGTCCATCTCGAGCGCGCGCACGTCCAGCCAAAGCATGGAGGAAGGCACGGAGCGCGTGCTGCAGGCCGGACGTTCGAAAGACACGCCCCGCCGTTCTCACTTTGTCTGTGAGTATAGATAGGCGCGAAGCGCGCAATATAAATAGTATTGCTTCAAAAAATATGTAATACATTTCTTTTGTGGTCTCACATTCTTGTTTATAATGTGTATTTGGTCAAAATTAAGATGACGATACACCTAATTATTTTTCCCAACGAAAAACTTTTTTTAATATCTTTCAATATTACACATTTGGGGGAATCAGTTGGCTCAGTCTATCGCGGTGTGATCCAGAATTTTGAAAATCAAAAACGCTTAGCTACTATAATTACTTATATAGTGTGTTCATTAATAATAACGCACAGCCTCTCCGAAGGAAAAATAAGCCACAAGACGCAACAGGGTGGCACGCTTTGAAGGAAGTAAAGGTCGCTACTATAATAACAAAGAAACTCTTATTGCGAAGAAACTCTGGCAATGACTATTTCACTTGCAGAAGGTGAAGAGGATCGAGGTATGCAGCGACCTGGTTCATATTAACGAAATCCTGGGAAATATATGCCAATCAAATAAACTGAAATTTCTATTTTCGCACACAAGTAAGGTAGCACATTTTTGGCATATGCAAATCGGTGCCGGTCGCACCAGTAGACGAGTATCTTTAAGCCGAGGTCACACTGCTCAAACAAAAGACAATCTGAAAACGCGAGTCACCGCAACATCCGTGGTTAGAATGCCGCGTGCCAAGTTTCTCCTTGGACTCATTCCACGCGGCATTCGAAGCATGGATCTCGTGGTGACTCGCGTTCGTATCTGTATGCAGACTGTCTTTTGTATGATGTATAAGCAGTGTGACCACGGCTTTAAAGACGCCCTTAATCAATACAACCGGGTAAGCACATAGGGACGGCGACAACAAACCTGTAAGATCCACATTTTTTCTTCGCGTATTGCTTCAAGCCGACGATGCTGATGACGCTGTTTACGAGCCTCTTGATCTCGTTCTTCTTCACTCCCCTCAAGATGGCGAACAAGCGCAGGAACTGATAGGCGTTCAGCTGCTCCAGGAGTCCGCCAGACTGGAGACAGTAGCCGATGTGGGACTGCCACTGAAAACCCGAGGGTCGGGGAGCACGTTACTCACACACACTCACCCACTCACACTCTCTCTCTCACACACATACATACATACATACATACATACATACATACAGACACACTATAATAATTACCATTTTACGAAGGGTATATCGGTGCATTGACTTCTGTACAACCTAAGGCCGCGATATTTTCTTTTAGATTCTGAAAACTGCAGAGCAGGATCAGACAATATCATCTAGAATAATCAAAAGCCTGTGTACTAGAATTTCATCAGCGTGAAATCGAGCGAAGACACAGATTGGACAGCAGTGCTGCGTCAGCATTCGGCTGGGCCTCGTATCCAATCAGCGTGTCGCAGGATGCTCGGCATTAGGCTCGGGACCAATTGCTGAGTTGGTGCCATCCGATTATATATGATGACGTTCCATGGACGAAGATGACGACGGTCGCAGGTTTTGGTTATTCTTGGTGGTGTTGGATTAGCCCAGACCACCTTATTGTTGCTGAGCGTGTCCACTCGACCCCAGCGTGCTTCAATAAGAAAAATCAGGAACCTATCCCGTGGCGAGGAAGGGCATTTGGTCGCCCCTTTTCATGCTGTTATTAACTCGAATTTCCGATAGCTTCAAAATGGCGAGACCTGGCACCCTTCCCAATCATTTTATTATCAGTAGGCAGCTTAGGAGATTGCATGAATGAAATCCACAGACGCGCTGCAAATACCAATCATTGTTCTTTCATCACTTTAGCCAATTGGCGGGCTGAACGACAGATCGTGCCCCAATAATCATGCAGCCTCACTGGCAAAAAAAAAAAATAATCTCACTAGTTTTGTTACTAAGACTACGTGGCTTGTTAAGCACGATACCAATCCAAATTTTAATTGGTGGGAAGGACTAAATAAATATTAATGATTAATATACTGGGGGAATTCGGGCGCACTGTTCTATCAAAAACGCCTAAGAATAGTACACTGGCAAACGCTCCTAGATATGTCGCAATGAACTCGGAACAGTAAAGATTGGTGTGTTCGACTAGCTAAGCCAATGAAAAGAGCGTACAGTCTCACGCCTCAACGATCGCGCAGTTTCATTAACAAACCTTTCGCCACTGGGACTTCATCATCATATCAACTATACTATCGCCCTGCTCATTGGTTGACCTGATCAGAGATAGACCAGTGGTAGGACTTTCGACTGGATAGTGGTGAGGTTTACACTGAGAAACGTCGAAGAGTTGTACTTGATCCTTTTCTGCTGTGATTTTTTTTTTCACTCCTAATATGACCTCTTCTACAAGGTCTATATCGAGCCCATGAACCCGAAGTCATCTGATTGCAGGTTGTGGTGCCTTTGTACTCTACTCTTTAGACTCGACTCGTGTCTCTCCTGTCGCGTGAAGATGGTAGCGATAACTGTAAAATGAGTTTAATTAATAAAAAAAAAGAAGCTAGTTCCCGCGCTTGCGCAATGCCCACAGCTGCACCGGGCAAACGCACCCACTCGTAAGCAATGCGTCTGCTCATTGACCCGACACCAAAACGCTTACGTACCCGTCGCGGATCGTCAGAGAGTTTTCCGTCCTGCATGTACGCGTCGCCATCGGTCATCTGCTCCAGGGCCGTAAGCACCTGGAAGGTGGTCGTCTTTCCCGCGCCGTTCACGCCCAGCAGTCCGAAGCACTCGCCGCGGACCACGGCGAAGTTGAGGCCCCTGACGGCGTGCAGGTGGCCGTAGAACTTGTGCACGTTATGGGCCACGAGGGCGTGCTCCGAGAAGGACCCCTCAGAGCACAGGTCACGCACGAGGTCCTTCTCTGCCTGGACCTCCGAGTCTAGGACGTCCTTGACGTCGTCCGTCGTCCTGAAGATAAGCGTCGGTAAGAAGTTGGCCGTGTCCCGCCAGACCAGCAAGGCGAAGAAGAGGGCGCCTTCCAGCAGCATCACGACGATGTCGAAGACGATGCCGCCGAGGCCCAGTTCGAACGGGCTCAGGAGTTGGAAACCTTGGGCGTAGCCCTTTTCCGCATCTACAACGAGACACGTTGTCAGATCGCTTCTTCGGTAAAATACATCGCTAAGGTGACAAGTTGACTGGCCGCATAACGCTAAAGGCCCGTTGATACACCTGCATTCGCTTACGACCAAATTCTCGTGATCTCTTACGACCAGTGAACCCTCTGGAACGCTGGCGCCGTCTGTCTGCATTTCACTAGAGGGGAGGTTTCGCGGTATTTGCAAGATCAAATGTACGCATTATCTATAAGAAATGGTAGTTTATGATGTCAATAAAAAAAACCCGAAGAAGAGGTGACACGAAAAAGGGTGAACACAATACCGTCTCAAAAGGAAGTTCATAAAGCCGCCAATGTCAATCCCCAAAGCGGATTGAAACTTTACCGAATTGCCTTCCAACGACTGAGGCACACTAGGAGCAGAAACTTGTTTAGTGAATAATAAAGGTTCATAATGCCCAGTGATGCCAATCTTGAAGGCGGTGTATGAAACGGTTTTATAAGCCCAATCACCTTTTCTGAATTCATAAAAACAGAGCATTGTCAACCGCAAAATCATAAAGGCCCATTTACAAGAAATCTGACAGGGCACGCTGCCACGTTCCATTCTCATTGATTACTATGCGGAAGAGTCGCGGGTTTGGAACTTTCAGCAGAAACTTTGCAGATAAGGCGGCACTTGTTGTGTTAGCGACATTTTTTTTTTTTTTTTTTTTTACAGCGGAATTTAGTTTGCAGTCTTTAAGAACAATAACGACATATCTTCTCAGTTTCTGAACATCTTAACCACACGGCCGGTACAAGGCACCCAAGGCTGGCTGTACCTTTACTTTAAAAGGATCAACATGTAAAACCGTAAATCTTCCTGTTTCATCAGTTTCCAGCAACAAGGAGGTCTTCTGATCTAATTTATTCTTTAACAGCCTTACTTTCTTAAAATCTCTCATCAAACTAGAAAGAACCCGAAGACCCGCCACTGAAAATTCGACCTCTCGGTCGGTCTGGTTCACAATCTTCTTGCTAATTGACTGCACCGAAAAGACTCGATCAAGCCAAGAAGGCTTAATGTTCTGGTAAAACTTCGGCCCAACAGCTAAAGCCGCTTGGACATTGTCGGACAAGAGAATGTGGCCGGGTTAAAGAGGTACTCCGGCAATTTTTTTAGTTACCCCAACTAACTATATATTCTGATTGCCCGGCCTTTACTCTTTCCGATATAAAATATAATATTCCTAAATTCAGAATAGTTATTGTGAAATCGGCAAGTTAATATGATGCCAAAACCAACATTAAAATCTACCCGCACTCGTCAGTGCCGTGACGTCAGTGGCAGTCAGGCTTGCCAGTCCAGTAGGCGATATAAAAAGTAGACTACGCCAAGCATTTGTTTCGTGCATGCTGGTGCGCGTTACTGGAGCGAGCTTCGAAATCATTCATTTTGCACCAAGAAACTGCTTGTAATTAGTTGGGAGGGAACAAATTCTAATCCACTACCTGCTGAATGCGTCAGTCTTTCATCGTTTCCAGTAAAGACTTTCAGCTTAAAAAGTTCGGTGAGGAAAAAAGTCAATTTTGGGGGTTTTACGTGCCAAACCAACGACGGCATCTGGCACGCCCCAGCGGAGGACTGAGGATTAATTTGGACCACCTGGGGATCTTTTGACGTGCAACCGAAAGCTGGGTTACATGGCGCCTCCTCCGCAATAAGCCTCCGTCAGATTGCGGGAACCTCGGCCGGGGTAAAGCTCGGTGAGGACCACAATTGTAAAATCAGTAACTTCGCGAAAAAACAATTATTTTGACCTAATATTTGGGACACTATTTCAGCGATGTTTGTTGGTGTGTTTAGCAAATTTTCAGATTATTGGGGGACCATGAAGCAAACCTCAGTTTTCACACTGCCGGAAGGGTGGACCACCTACAGTAAGTCCACGACACATAGGAAGATTGTCAAAAAGCTTTAAAGATACTTGCGAAGCATGCATGCCTTTGTGCAGCCCAAACACTTTCCACTTTCCCCGTCTCCGGCAACGGAGACGCATCCAGTGAATGTCGTCCATGACAACGCTGAGGACGACAGCGCATCGTCTGAGGTTTTCGACATGTGGCAAGTTGACAGCGTCGCGCCGTTACCGCCGTTCACCGTCACCGTCTACTTGTGCGGCAAGCCACTCTGCATGGAGGTGGACACGGGCGCAAGTGTCTCTGTCATCGCCAAGAAACGTCTGCAGGCGCTGGTGCCTGCGATACGAGTCATGCCATCCGGCGTGCTGCTGCGAAGCTATTCCGGTGAACTGACCCAAGTTGAAGGCAGGGTGGACGTCAGCGTGCAGTTCCACGACAAGAAGGCCGTGCTGCCATTGTTCGTCACCGGAGACAAGTCGCCTACACTACTTGGGCGCAACTGAATTCGGGAGCTGGGCCTCAACTTCTCTAATGTGGAGGTAACTGTTCATTCTCTCTCCAACGTCAGAAGTCTTGTTCAAGAGTTTTCTGCTGTGTTCGAGGAACGGCTGGATACTTTCAAGGGGCTCAAAGCCAGTATTCATGTTCCAGAAAACGCTCCGCCGAAGTTTTTTAAGCCGCGTCCACTACCTTTCGCACTCAAAGATGGAGTTGCACAGGAGCTTCAACGTCTAGAAAGGGAGGGCATTATTGTACCAGTCAAGACATCAGCCTGGGCTGCACCCATTGTTCCTGTTGCCAAGAAGGATGGACGTGTCAGTATTTGTGGCGATTTCAAGGTAACCGTGAATCCGGTGGCCACCCTGGAAAAGTACCCGATTCCCAGAATTGAAGACCTGTGGGCCATGCTGTCTGGGGGTAAGAAGTTCACCAAGTTGGATCTGAGGGATGCTTACCAGCAGGTGATTCTTGAGCAGTACTCGAGGAAGTATGTCACCATTTCCACACATATGGGGTTGTTCCAGTACACCCGTCTTCCTTTCGGAGTGTCGTCCGCTCCAGCTATCTTCCAACGGGAGATGGAAAACTTGTTCCGAGGGCTGCCGCACGTCGCTGTATATTTTGATGACATCCTGGTCACCGGCGCGACTGATTCGGATCATCTGCACAACCTTCGTTCCGTTCTCAAGCGCCTTTGTGATGTCGGACTGAAGTTGAAGTTCGACAGGTGTCATTTTTTTGGGCCGCAGGTTGAATACCTTGGGCACATTATCAACCCGGAAGGGTTGTCTCCAGGCCTGGGCAAAGTAGCGGCCATACTTCATGCTCCTGCTCCCCGCGACGTCAAGCAGCTTCAGAGCTTCCTAGGTTTGATTAATTTCTACAGACGTTTCCTTCCTTAACTGTCTGAACGCCTGCGGCCACTGCACTTGCTTCTTACTGACGGGAAGAAGTGGGAGTGGGAAAAAGACCAAGAAGAGGCTTTTACCACAAGCAAGCACTTGATGACGTCCGCTCCGGTTCTAGCTTATTTCAATCCAGAAAAGCCGGTACGTCTAACTTGTGATGCATCACCATACGGGATCGGTGCAGTTCTGGCGCACCTTGAAGCCGATGGCCAAGAGCGACCCATTGCTTTTTCATCAAGGAGTTTGTCCCGAGCAGAACAAAACTACAGTCAACTTGACAAAGAGGCGTTAGGCTTGGTCTACGGGGTGGAACGGTTCCACCAGTACTTGTGGAGGACCCCTTTTCAAGCGTTCACAGACCACAAGCCGCTGCTGGGATTGCTGAGTGCTGACAAGCCAGTTCCTGTCCACGCGTCGCCTCGGCTTGTCAGGTGGGCTCTCAAGCTTTCAGCCTACAAGTACCAGCTGATCTACAAACCAGGAAGGAATTTAGGTAATGCTTACGCACTCAGTAGACTTCCATTACCTGGGAGCAACGTTGAAGAGAACGTGCCGGCTGACGTCTTCATGCTACAGCACGCATATCCGAATCTTCTTTCACCCTCCGTTGTGGCCCATGCACAAAGAATGACCCTCTTCTGGGACATGTCGTTCTCGCTGTTCTCAAAGGAGAGGACCTTGCACTAGCATCAGAAACGAGGCCTTTTTGTGCAAGGAGTTCAGAGCTTATCCTGCATGAGGGTTGTTTGCTCTGGGGAGCACGCGTGATGATCCCAAAAGTGCTGCAGGCTCGAGTCCTGGATCTGCTTCATTCCAGCCACCCAGGCATCGAGAAGAGCAAAATGATAGCCAGAAGTCACGTCTGGTGGCCGGGTATCGATAACGACATAACCCACAGTGAAGAGCTGCTCGATTTGCCAAGCTCATCAGCGGGCTCCACAACCAGTTCAACAGACGCCCTGGCCGTTCCCCCAGAAGCCTTGGTCCAGGCTTCACGTTGATTTTGGAGGGCCATTTATGGGGCATACCTTTTTGGTCATTGTGGATGCTTTTTCAAAATGGGTCGAAGTGTTTCCTGTCTCGTCAACTTCTGCAGAGGCTACCATAAACGCCCTGCGGACGGCCTTCGCTCAGCACGGTCTACCAGATCTGATTGTGTCAGACAATGGGCCTGCATTTGCAAGTGAGCAGTACTTGGACTTTCTAACATGCAACGGGATACGCCGTATGCTCGTGCCGCCATATCATCCAGCGTCAAACGGGGCAGCGGAGCGTGTTGTACAAACCGTTAAGGACAAACTCAAGAAAGGTGGCTCTGGGGATTTTCAGACTCGGATTTCCAGATTCCTGTTTCATTACAGGACTACTCCGCACGAGGTCACGGGCCGTGCAGCATGCGAGCTGTTGACGGGAAGGATGTTCAAGACGCCGCTGGATGTCCTGCGTCCCAGCCTCCAATCATCAGTGCTGCTCAAGCAGCTAAAACAGAAACTTTATACTGATAAAGGCTGCCGACAGGGAGCGCCGCTCAACCCTGAAGAGAACGTGTTCGCCAGGAACTTCCGCCAGGGTATGCCCTGGGTGCCTGCTCGAGTCATCGGCGCCACAAGTCAGTTTTCAGCGCAAGTCCGCCTTGAAGATGGCACACTGTGGCATCGGCGCGGTGATCACCTGCGTTTCAGACCGACCGACGCCACTACAGCAGCTACGGCCGAGGCAGAGACTTGTCAACCTGTTGATGCTGCAGCGCAGTTGGAACCGCAAGCATTAAATAAGAGTCAATCTGTTGGTGCTCCCGGCGCTCTGTTCGAGCCAGGCGAAACAAGCGTGGGTGCAAGCGACAGTGCCGCAAGCCCTGAAGTAACTCCTCATCCTACAAGCATCAGTCCACCCCAGCTGCGCCATAGCACAAGGTCTAGGAGGGCCGTGCAGCGGTACTCCCCTTAGCTGTAGCTTGTCTTTGTACCTTAGAGGGGAGGACTGTTATATTCCTGGCCAGCATGTAGCGCCACAAGGTCCCCTGGTGGCCTAGTGTGACGATGACTGGAAGTGCGGCGCTCTATATTAAACAGGGGGTCACCCGGCTCCCTCAGTTAGTGTTGTGTTGGAACCGAACTACGTGTGTCATGCTTCCGCTTCTTGCCGCCGACCAACGTTGGCCGGTGCGAAGCGGGTTCGGTTTACACTTGTAACACCACCTGTGGCCAACGCTGTACAAAACCGAAACGCGGTAGGTTAAGAAACCGAATTTTGCGGTCGATTTAAAGAGCCTGGCCGCTCCTTGAATCACCCAGTAGAGTGTGGTAAACATACGGTTCAAACTCGCTCCTGTAGATAAGAATACTTTTTCGCTCTCTCAGATTTACTCACGTTCACAGCAACGCTCGAATCCGTAACCGAATTCTTTCAGGAACCCGGTCTGGCAGTATACTTCGAGCATCGTGATGTTCTCAATGTACTCTCGTTTGATCCTGAGGCACTCGTCGTTCTCCATCTCTAGCTTCATGAGCTTGTAGATGGCGCCGGGCAGCACCACTGGCGGCAGAAACATGGGGATCCACCGAGGAAGCAGTCCGGAACTGAATACGCGCAGTAGGATCAGGACGATTGGCGAAGCGGTACCTGAAACAATAGGAGTCCCCAAGGGAGCTGAGGCATAGTCTCAATAATAAATAATGGGAGGCTATGCTAAAAGATCATGAAACAATGCTCTTTTCCTTTTTACACAGAATGAGTTTTATCTGCCAAATTCAATGAGAAATCCGTCATGTGACGTCATAACGTCACGTAACACCGTGACGCTCTGACGTGACGTCATGAAAGACTGTGATACGTCACCGTGTCGTATCACAGTTACCAGTTACGAAAATCTGGACGACCCGCGCATTTAAAATGTTCCAGGAAAAAATATGAATGGAAATCAGGCTGGAAAGCATCACAAGTTGTCACAGGCACTTATTTAGCCAGTCTGCCTGTGAACGTCGATTTTGTCACTATTCTTGCCTTGAACTAGCACCGTAATCACACAGTCACTAAACGCTTGTGCTTGATTGAGACACTGCATTCGGTGCAGAACGTAGTTTTCTTCCTGCTCTGGACAGTGACAATAAATTTGAGGGATGTATTTTCGCCCACAAAATTGTATTTAATTACAATTGTATTTGAAATACCCACGTTTTAGTATTTAAATACACACGTCAAGTACATTACCCAATTTGTAATTGGATACAGATGCAAAATACACAAAGTATTTGAAATACGTATTTCAAATACTTGTATTTGAAATACTGCCCATCCCTGGTTGAATATGTGTCATCCTTTAAATATCTTGGCGTTCATCTTTCATCGGTCTTTACGCGGAACCTTCACATTGAACATATTGCTAACAAGGCGTTGCGAACGTTTGGCTTTCTCAAATGAACACTGTTCCATGCAATCCGAGATACAAAACTTCTTGCCTACACTGCTCTTGTCAGATCTCAACTTGAGTTAGCATCAGTTATCTGGCATCCTCGTCCATTATATCCGGCAGACAAGATTGAATCTCTTCAAAACAAAGCTGCTAGATTTATAGCTTGCGATAACTTCCGATTTACAAGTGTAAGCAGTTTAAACCATCGATTTAACTTTTCACCTCTTCATACAAGAAGGCACCTCGCACGCTCATCATTTACTCATAAACTGTATTACAGTCCCTCGCCTTTTAGGGACTCCTTCCTATACTACCGGCTCACCATATATCGTCCCGCTTAAATCACCCTTTCTAAATTAACCTCATATTTGCACGAACCAACATGTTTAAAAACTCTCCACTACTCCCCCATCGAGTCGCCGCCCCGGTGTAGAGCAGGCACTTCTGCGTCTTGTGTGCCCATTGCTTCTCTCCTATAGTATCCAGGCGCACACTTCAACACTTAGCTTCGCGACCGCCTCCCAGGCCTCGACAGAAACCCGGGAGGCGGTCGCCCTACGTTTCCCTGAGCCGCTTCGTTTGGGGTCGTCCTGTGAGCCCCGAGGGCCAACCTTCCCACATCGTTCTACCGCCTCTCCAAATACTCTCGTGTGGCTGCTGACGGACAAAGCACTGCAGAAGCAAACGTCAGGCCCGGCACCGTCACTGTCTTTCACAGGCCGCGTAGCACCTCCATTCTGTTAAACGACCAGAGTGCCCTGGCCCTGAGTACACGCTGGTTTCATAGCGCCTTCTCGTGCACCCGGTCCGCATAGTCCGCCAAATATAGGTCCAATCCCGTCGACAGCTGGATTCCCAAGTAGCGGTACGAAAACGCGAACGGGATATCCTTCCCTTGTAGGGTCACCAAATCAACCAGCATGCCAAACTGAGCATGCTGGGGCAATAACCCAGCTTGAAGCTTGGACAAGCTTAAGCTTTTTTTTTCAATAGGGGGACCTGTCGAAGCCACATCCGCACCCGTGTAGGTCGCTTAGAAACAACATGAAGAGCAGCGGGTACAGCCGACAGTCCTGTCTGAGGATCCGACTTATTGGCATCATCCCCGCCTGCATCCCCTGCCACTACACTATCACCTCCGTGTTCATGTACAGTTCCCGCAAGAGATTCACCACTTTCCTTGGTAATATTTTTCTTCACTGCGACAGTCACGGCGCCTCTTGTTTGATGCAGTCGTAAGCCTTCTCCGTATCGAGGAAGGTCGCCCACAGCTTCCGCCCTGCCGTGTGAACGAGCAGTTTGTCCTCTAAGCGCCGTCCTCTGCGAAACTCATTATGCAGTTTGCCGAGGATCCCCTCTCGTTCTGCCCACGCTTGAATTCTCCTCCACAGCACCTGGGCGAAAACTGTATAGCGTCGGAGTCACTGTGGTATAGGCCTGTACAACGTCAATCTAGTCCGTTCCCCGACACCCTTATACAGGAACATCATTCGGCCGCGACGGCAGTCCCTCGGTATCTCACCAATCTCAAGCATGTCACTGAGGCACTCCCCCAAGGTACGACACAGCTTTGGGCCCAGCTTCTTTAGTAGAGAGTTAGCGGAAACCTATCTAGCTAAGTCCAGTCACCGTGCCCGATTGGATTCAGCGTAACTAAACATTTTCACACTGATATTCAAGTAGAAAAAGTGTATTTTTGAATGAACACGTTTGCTACACGTTTCTTACACCATTTCTACACATATTTTAATTATTTACAGGTGTAACACGGGTGTAATGGTCACTTACACCCTTTCTGTGCCTTTCCCACACCTTGAAAGGAGCGAAATCGTGTAAATATACACCTTTCACGGGGACCGGGTAAAAAAGGTGTAAAGGCGATACTATAGCGAATACACCCATGATTTCTTATTCATCTCTTTATCGCGTTAGCCAAAGTTTGTCATTATCGTCCCAGATTGATACATATAGATCACATTAGTGCTACCTCACATTTAATAGTGTTCCTTCACTCTGCTTAAGGTTCTGATCATAGCAATTAATCCATCAGTACCCCACAAAACCTTCACAGCAGAGTCGGCATGGCAGATATGCGCATCAAACCGCGCTCATCAGCGCAAGGCGTCGTTCACGCAGCCACGTCCTCCCTTCGTCACCACTGCCACGGGCGGCTCATCCACTTGAAAAAAGATATTCACATATTGGACAGCATTTCTACCCGAGAACAGGTATGTCTCCAACGGCAACACACAGTATTGCTCATATTTAAAAAAAAAAAGAAAAAAAAAAAAAAAAAAACGGGGACGACGGACGAAGTAGGGTGACAAACACAAAACGTGTCAAGTGTTTCGAGGCCTGTCGTTTGTGAATTGGCTATGCTGGTCAGGAATTCGGATTTCTTGACCAACTCAAAACGGTTTGAAAACAAAAAAGGGAAACCGAAATTTGCTTCTTTTTAGCCCGAGAAGGACAGACAGAGGGAGCTTAGCTGCATTGTCGATCTCCCTTCGACCTCGCCATTTGTGAAGCCTCTCCACGTTCTTTTTGTGTCTTTATGTGACTGCGCATGCGGGAAATTGGACCGAAACTTTAGGAAAAGACAAGCAGTGAATAAGCAGTGGCTGACATGGACACTCGAGTTGAGACAGGAGAGATCGGCTGTAAACGTGTGAGAGACGTGAACGCGTGCTGATACTGATGACACTACTTTTAGAGCGCAGCTTTTAGGCGCCCGTCTCCGGCTTGAGCGGCGTAGCCGTCGCTTTCGCCGTCGACTTAACCGTAATGCGTCGGCGTAACGCATCGGCGTGACGCGTTGGCGTCGCCGTAATCGTAACGCGTCGGCGTAACGCATTGGCGTGACGCGTTGGCATCCCCGTAACCATAACGTGTCGACGTAGCGCGTCGGCGTAACCCATCGGCGTGACGTGTCGGCGTCGCTGTAACCGTAACGCGTCAGCGTAACGCATCGACGTGACGCGTCCCCGTCGCCGTAACCCGTCGGCGTGACTCGTTGGCGTCGCCGTTGGCGTAACCGCACGGTGCATTACGGGAAACGTCCCATAATGCACAACGCGGGAGGGAGGAGGGAAGAGGAGGTGGAGAAAGAGCTAGGGAGGAGAAGGAGGAGAGGAGCGGGAGGAGGCGAGGAGCACGGGAGGAGTAGATGAGGAGGGAGGAGGAGAGGGTACAGATGAGGAGGAGGATGGTCCCCTCCGCATCCTCCCCTCCTCCTCCTCAAGAGCTGCGCTCTAATTCGGCGTTACAGGGAGTTATAAACGTCTTTCATTTTTGTTAATTTCTTAACGGCATAGTCAATTCAGTTGTGACTCTGAGCATTACAATTTCAATTTGGTGAACAAGAAAAAATAAGTCATTCGGTCGGGTAGCAACCTTCATCAAGCAGCAGTCTTCGAAACGCATCCAAAAGCAAGTAGATCATTTTGTTTTCACTACTAAACCGTTTAAATGAGAGAGAGTAGCCGTTTAGAGACATGAAGCATCCAGTGCGAGCATGTGGGATCAGTGTTTTGCAGATCGTCGATGCTGAACTAGGATTATTTCGAGTGGCGTGTGTGTGCCTCCGTCAGCGTTAGCAAGGGCAATGCCCAAATGTATTGGTCGTATATTCATGTGATGCTACTCTGTCCTGGTCGATTAGCGCAGGGCCCCATTTATCTCAAATACCAGTTTAACTAACTTATTATTTTATGGATTCAGCCTCTTAAGGTTAACTCCCTCTACTTCAGTGGCGTCACAAGGGGTGTGTGGGGGGGGGGGGGGGGGTGCGGATTGCCCCGTGTGCAGAGCTTCGAGGGGTGTCGCGACGGGCCACAAGAGGAGGGGGGGGGGGGGATCGTGGCAGGCGACGAGCGGAGGGGCGGGGGGGGGGGGGGGGGGGGGTTGTCGCGGGCCGCCGTCCTGGGTGCCGCTGACCCTAGTGACGCCACTGCTCTACTTTACACTTCTTTTCCTTACGCTGCCCTTTCCTTGTTACCCTAACCTACCTACCCTTATCCTATCGCGACTTCACAGTTAAAAAAAAACACTGTGCCTTTGCCAGACAAAACGATTTTCAAGTCAATCACTTGTCGAAAATCCGCGAAGGAAAAAGCGCTCGGCCATTTCACTCCGCGCGTCCGCGGACGAGGCGCGATTCGCAGGAATCGCTCACATGACGGCGAAGAGTCACGTGGGTCCGCGGACGAAAATCGCGATGTGGTCCGTTGAGTGAATTGGCCATTAAGAACAAAACAACGTTGACGGTGCTTCCTGATGCCGTATATAAAGCTCAGAAAGTCGAATTTTTCCCGTTCTGCAAGAGGCAAGAAAATGGCGGCGCCCATAGGGCGACCGGGGGAGTAGGGTGTCGATGCTCTATAGGCGTAGCCTATTGAGGGGCTCCAGGCGAACCTACCTCCTATCGTCCAGAAAAGCAGCGCAAGCACGTAGGCGTGGTTGTCGCTCGTGGCTCTCGCGGCGATCAGGTAAGGGACCAGGATGCCGATCCCTGAATGCGCCAATACCACGACCACAAACCCCACTGGAACCAGTAAGAGAAGGAACGTCGGCGCACGTTATGCACACATTATGCATTTTTATTAACAAATAAATTAACGTAAATTTATTTTAATATAGACCGACTCATTTGTATGACGTCACGAAGAGACGAATGAAAATGAAAAGCATGATACACGGAAAGGAACTTAGACAGCACGACTTGCACTGACGTCACATCGCGTACTTTTGACCACCACGAGAGAGAGAAAAAAAGAGAGGGAATCTGCTTTTGTAGAATTTTGAGCGACGTGTTAATCTTTTGTAATATTCTGGGAGGAAAATAGCGACGTCTGGGCAAATCTGGGAGACAAAAAAGAGGGTCCTGGTAAGAAGGGAGGTGCTTCTTGCCCTCTTCTCTGGTAGCCATCGGAGCTCTCCTTGAATGACGTCATATGCAAGCCATAAATGAGGACGTCGCAGAAATTAATAACGTCACGGTATGCCGCCTGTCCCTTTGTCTGTGAAGAAAAAGAAGTGGCCATATCTTGTAATCTAGCTCGCTTCAGCTCCGGCAATTTTTTGTGTTTTTTTTGTGATTTTTGCTTCTTCATACGCCTGGGCTCCAGCCCAAACGCCCGTCACGACCCCATGACGACCATAGGCACTCTCAACGGCCTTCAGAACTTTCCTCTGCCTGACACGATAGACTCACAGCCCACCGAGGCAACGCCGGCTTCTCCCGCCGTCTTAAGCCTACCGCTGAGCGCACCGCCCATAGCCGATGTAGCCACTCCCACCATCACGTGGCTTCTTGACCAGCTACTCGTTGCCGCGTGGAATCAAGCTGCGATCGTTACTTAGAATCCATTCTCCATCATCAGCAACGATGATCCCGAAGGCGAGTTTCCGCCCCTCAACAGCAGCACATCAGCACGGCCGCCGATGGAACGAAGCGTGCTCGTGGCATTTTGTTTTGGCGCCGCCGCGACTAAGCCCAAAGGCTCACCCAAGTGCATCCAACGTCGCTTGAACACTGACTCGGACCCCTGGAAGACGGTTGGCACCCTGTCTCTCGCCGACGCAAGACGGCCCTGTCCGCGGCGCCTCCAGCAGCATCGCTCCGCAGTGAGTCCTCCCACACTGTCATTCTACGGCCGACCAAACCATGCCGCATCATGGACGCGGCCTTTCTTGCCGTCGCCTCTACAACTGCAGCACAGATAGGCCTCCGGTCTCCTACACCATTGCAGCCCCCATACCATGTGAGTTAGCTCGACCGCAGTAATAAACACGCGGTCGACGCCACTTCATCTGAAATGCGCGACGCTTTACTCAAAGTAACCCACATCCCGATTAGTACTCAGCAGCCTACAAGCGTATACGATCGGTACTCAGCAGCCTACAAGCCCAAGGCCGTTCACCGCGGCCAGATTCGTGGATTCATAAAAAACGTGGGCGGCCTGGATTCCGCTTAACTCCTGAGAAATCTTCATTGCCGGAAATGTGCTATCCTCCAGGCCTGCCCCCTACCTCGGAACATGGGTGAAGAAGCGCGAGCCCGCCGAGACGACTTTGCTCGACTACATCTGCACTCGTATGAGGTCCGCTCCTCATCGGTACAGATTTTCTACACTGACGCGGTCATCAACAAGGACAGCTCCTCACCGACTTTCAGCACGGCATGGTGCAATGTTGACGGCCACCCACGAGGCTCACAAGTTTTTCCGACTTCCAGCTCCTCCTGTCATGTTGAGCTTTGTTCAATATTCCATTGCCTTAGTTCAATCGACGCCGCCACCCTAACGAACTCCTCCAGCATCACGATATACACGGATTCTCAGGAAGCCATCCGTGCTTTCCGACACCCATCGCCGACATCGGCGATTACCATTCAAATTCATCGGGGCGCTCTCTCCATCCGGACGGCAGGCCACCATCTTCTCGTCGACTGGGTACCCACCCATTGCGGTATTCCCGGTAATGAAAGAGCTCACTGACTTGCTCGCGCTAAACTTCTCTCCGCATAAGCCGGGGCCCCGACTTCTTCTTTGCCACCGGAGCTCGCACCTGGCGCCTTTCACGACGCTCACGAAGCCCGGCAGGTGCACACCAGTCAACGACGCCAATACCTATCCAGTCAGGCCAATCCTCTCGACTTTCCCTCCCTCTCTCGAATTCCCCTGACTCGTCACCAGACCTCCCTCCTACACCAAGCCAGATCAGGAGCACTCCTCGCCCCCACCCTTCACAAGAAAGTGTGCTCACAAATTCCTCTGGACCGAGAGTGCCACACACCCGCTACGCTCTCTCATCTTTCGTGGGACTGCCCCCTTCCCTCCACAGCCTGCTCTCGCGCTCTCTCAACCTTCTCTCCTCACCCCTCGACTCTCACTGAGTGGCTCAACCCGCCATCTTCCCCCGACCCTGGCCGGGTCCTCGCAGCATCACAGGCACTCCTTATGTATCTGGAAGACCCCGAGGCACGTTGGCTTGGCTCCAGATTACTGAAGCCCCACGAGTCCCTGATCGCTTCCACTCGTCGTCTCGTTCATCCTGGAAGCTCCCGAGACAAATAAAAATATTTCTTTTGTTTTTTGTGACCAAACAGCAGGGCGCATGTGGCGCCCGCTTCTCTGGTCGTTAAATAGATACGTTTTAAAGCAAAGCCTTTGCCTATACTTCGCGTCACTAGCTGTGTGCAGTACAGGCGAAGGCAACGCCAGTCGCAGATAGAAAGGGCAAGCACTAGGAAGGCTGAGGAAAAGGAGAGAAACCTGCTTTCTTCTCTAACGTTCTTAGTGCTCTCCCTTTTTCCCCTCGCCCTCCATTGCCCTCCTCCCCCGTCTAGCCTTAGTGCTTGCGTTTTCTATCTTCGCCTGGTGTTTCCTTCGCCTGCACTGCACACATCCTTGTTTTCTCGTGGCGAGCCACTCATGCCAATCCCATGCCATGCGAGTGTCATGTCACCTTCGGGACGTGCGCAGCGATGCGATTCGCTGGGATGAATCCATCTTAAGGAGCAGTGGAGGAGCAGAATGTCGAGTATGGGCGTTGAGGAATAGCCAGGGAGCGCCGTCGCTCTATGCCTGACAGCATTGCCTCCCGCCACGTTTTTGAACTCTTGGATAGGTAACGAACCCACCATCCCACGGCGCAACGAGCATCACGAACGCATCAGGCCACGCCACCATCCCTTCCATGCCAGCTGGCGTACCCAGGCTGTGGCACGGAGGGGGGGGGGGGGGGGGGGAGAGGGTGACGAGTACGCGGAAAGGTAGCGCTGCGTTAGGGTAAGATGAAGGGCCCGAAAGGCACCGAGACCCCAAAAGAACTGTTAACGTGGCCAGTTAGTTTTCCAGTTACGGGTGGGGTTCAAAGTTATTTAGAACCAATGTAGTTTTTAAAGGTCTACTCTTTTGTGCCAAAATATGGGCGCCAGGCTAGGATTATACTCCGTTCACCCTTAAGCTGAGTCTAGAAGCTCCGCCTCCAGCGCGAGCTTTTTGCCCTCGCATCCCCAGCAATTCGGGACATGAACCACTTGCGCCATCTCTTGGCAGTTGTGTGCAAACAGCTAAAAACAACAAAATCTAACCGATAAAAATCAAATAACAGAAAATTTTCCCAGATATGTTTAGATAAGTTATCTTTATTAGTCAAAGAAAATTTTTATTACCCCCTGACAGTTTATGTCGGTTCCCAGAGAAAAAATATCGATTTTCTCCATTGACTCCCATGGAAATCTTCGTTCCGGTTATGGTTACATCAAACTTATGAGAGAACCATTACCTATTTCCCAAAGTTCCCAGAGGGATTATAATAAAGACTGCGTTCATCCGGATAGAAACGGGCAGGGGTGGGGATTGAGCCCAGGAACCCAGGATCAGTTTCGCTCAACGTGCTCCGAGCTCATGTGCGCTAACCCACTCGGCCAATGGTCCGATGGTCTCAACAAGCTTCACAGGGAGTTCGCAGGGAGTTCGCAGAAAGCAGCTTTGGCGTTTCTTTCTTTGGAACCCAACCTCATGAGGTGGACTACGGCATTAGAAACGACCTGGATGCCGAAGTAGGAGGCGCTGAAGTTGGCCTCTGACTTCACTTGCCTGGCGCTATCCGACCACATGTGTTTTTTGGGGCAAATGCATCTTTGCAAGGAACTCTCAAAAACAACATAGACGTCTTATATAATTTATATTTCATCGAATTGCTACCCCACAATGCAGACCGCATGATTCCCGGGGAAATTGGCCCTGGTTGTTGAGATAAAAGGCGCTGAATGTGGCTACTTAGAAAGAATCACGTTCCTAAAGAGCGAACCCTTGAATATTTTGAGAAGTGTGACTCCACCAAGGACATGCTGCGTGCTACCTATAGTGCTCAAAATTATTTAAACATCTACTCAAAGAGATGTGCTATGATTCCCCTAAAACATTGCAAGATTCGCCCTGACTGTTGAGATAAGAGGAGCTTAATTTTGAACGAATCACGTTCCAAAAGGACATACGAGCTTTTGGGAGCGTGCGCCTCCGCCAGGTACCCGCAGCACACAACTTATGCGGCTTAAAATTATTTAAATATCTATTCAATTAGTTATACTACATGGTTTCCCGGGAACTATGCGAGATTGGGCAGATATCGGCGGTCGAAAGGGCTAACGCGTTTCGGCTCGGAGCGTGGAGCGAAAGCTTGCGCTGCTGAACCTCCTTGGTTCGATCCCCGCCCCTTACCCGTTTCGATCTGGATAAGCTTCGTACCGGCAAGCGTTCGTGCAATCTTGAATCACTACAGTGTGGTGCACGTTAAAGGCCCCAGGTTTGCGGGAGAAGGTACTGGAGAGTTTTCGTAGATCGTTTTCGCCGTCCCACAACGCTATCTGCAGCCCACTACGATACCCAGAACTATACAGTTAAGGTCATCGTCGCTCAAGCGCAGTAGTGGCTTCTTCGTTGCGGAGTGCTTAGTGGAGGGGGAAACGCGGTCTACGAAAACTCCCCATCGTCGCTTTTGCGGGAGACGCGACGGGCGTGACATGAGGTGGCGGTTCACAGCGCATGTGCCGTCATGCGTCTCCCGGGTCCTTTGGAAGCGCGTGATACTCGCGCTGCATCGTCGGTAGTCATGTAGCCTAGCCTTGCACACGGCCGCTTTAGTACTGGAAGCCCATAGCATATACCGTTCGCGCTGTGTCGCAACAAGTCGCTTACCGTATGTGACGGTCCTCAGCTTGTATAAGGAGACCAGGCAGGCGCCAAAGATGAGAAAGGCCGCCAAGTAGACCAGCAGATCAAAGAGGAAGTTGGACAGGCAGTAGACAAGCCCGGGAACGCCCGTCATGAGCTGCAACGCCTTGGCGCGGCACGCGTGCTCGACGAATGGGAAGAGCACAAAGTGGGCGCACAGGACGCCGACTAGCATGGGCGTATATAAGAACCAGTGATAGAGATCGATATACAGCATAATCCCGGAAAGCAGGGCTCCAATCCGGGCCCTTACATTGCCGGAAAAGCCTAGTTCCCGGAAAAGGTCCTCGTGAACGTAGAGGTTGGTGCGGATCCGGGCGGCACGGTTGCCCGATTGAAGGCGTATCAGAGCCGTGTCCAAGAGGTTTAGGCTGATCACCTTGCTGAGCGCCGCGAATGGATTGTACCAGCCCTCGAGCCTGAAACCACCCGACGAGCCACAACACCCACGTCGCCATCATCATCATCATAATCATCATGATCATAATCATCATCATTGGCAACCCCTTAAAAATGAGGCGACACGCGGGCCTTGCTTTCTCTAGTCTGTTGCAACACGAGAACTGCAGGACAAACGCTTCGCGGCCCGAGATCGCAGAATGGAATGTCGCGGCTAAGCCTATCAGTTCGAAAGCACCGTTTTTCTGACGTCACTAAGAGAGATGAGCATTCAACACGAATGAATTTTCACCAAGTAGTTCAAGAATGCAGGTAAGCTGCTTAAGACATCTATCTAAACCTCCCCTCCCCCCGCAAAAAAAAAAAAAAGTTTACAACACTAGAAGTTTGTTTTCACTAACTTTCACGAGAGGCTGGATGGCCGTGTGGTACAACTTATTAGAATAGCCAATGTACGTGTTACTGACTACAAAGAAAAACTAATAATCGGGGTTTACTTGGCGCTACTACAAAACCTCAGTGTTTTCTTTCTGTGGTCCTTGATACGTAGCTATGTAATAAGTTATACCGCATCGTTATCAAGACCCCCTTAAAATGTGGGGCCGTCTGTTCCACTATAGTGCGCTGTACGTCGAACTGAAGTTTGGGGGTGCATTATACGAAAGGATGTAAGGTGATACCTTTTTTTTTTTTTAGCGTGTGGCGTCACGCCGGGCGTTAAAGCTTAAAGTTAAAGCTACGTTTCCGGCATCAGCCGCACCACCTGACAATGTTTTCCGGTGCATTACAAGTGAAGGTCTTTCGACGCTTTCGGCGAGCGTAGTGATCGTGCTCGCTGTCTTCGATGCTGTACGAGAAGTTACGAGACGGAAGAAACATCAAAACCTAAGCGTTTTAAGCTGTGGCCCGAAGCGCTTCCAGAGCCGACGTGCGCACGCACTTCGGGCTGTAACCCAACGTGCGTGCGCACGCCCTGGCGAGCGAGATCGGTTTCAACCGCTCCGAGGACGCCACCGCGCTTCGCCTCGCCAAACCTCGCCAACCAGGACCGGACCCCGAGGCCGAAAGGCTCCGACCCAGCCAGGAACAGCACCGAGGTAGGAACTGCTCGTACTGTGCTACCATGCAGCGCTCGGAGCTGTCGGCGTCGTTCGTGCTTGCGACGAAGCCTCTAGGGACTCCGTCGGACGCTCAAGTCGTACTTCGTAAGGCTTGGACAGGGGCCGCCCTCACCGAGCAGCTCAGCTATATTCCGCTCACTTATGATGGAAATAAGAGCTTGCATTTCTTTTCGGGATAGAACTGCGGGTCACCCCACTGGACCGCTCTCTGCCGCCGCCGACGAGGTTGGCAACCGCCATGTACTCAACTGTTCACTCGCTCCCGCAGCGAGCGCCTTCCCACAATCCTTTCCATTTCAAAATGCGATGCGATCTCTGTTTAAATGGGCTAAGTGAATGCGCATTCGCCTTCTCAATCCACCTCTTCGTAGCGAATTGAATGCGATGCGCTTCCCTAGCGCATTATGCCGTTCACGTGACCATATAATGCGACAACTGGATTTGATGCGACTAAGCCACATTCGTGTAAATGCGGCTACAGACACTTAACGTGGTTCTCAAAGGCGTCCAAGCGAAAGAACAAACAAGCCCCACAGCATCCCCATCCCTAAGAAGTGAGCAAAAAACCTGCCCACCTCTGCTCTTCAAAAACACCGCCCAGAATGTACTTGGAAGCGTACGCCAGGTAATCGCGACTGGCTTCATCCAGCAGTGTCTGCGTAGCGTTAGGAAACAGCTTGAGCTCGGCTTCTTCACTTTCCACGAGTGGACGGTACTTCTCGAAGTACTCTCGGGTCGCCGCGTCGTGCTGGGCGAAGGTGACCGCTCCGGGAAAGAGGCTTTTCAGGGATATCGGGACGAGCGTGGACGTTTGGTCCCGGTGGGTGGAAATTTCGCCCTTCCGGTTTCCCGGATAGAGCAACAAGAACAGAACCGCGGGCAAGACGAACGCCGTGAAGATGGTGAAGTAGGATCTCTGGAAGCAGATGGCCCGCTTCCACATCAGCACCAAGAGCCGGGAAGTTTGAGAAACTCTGGTGCCGGCTGCCGAGGCTGCGTAGGCGACGTCTTGGTCTGCACAAAGCGTCAGCGGAAAGGAGTGATCATCGAAGAATCTCGTCGCCAAAAGTCATTTATGCTTCCTTCTAAAAGTGCGTCAGAAGTTTTAGGGCAATTAGGCCTGACCTCTGAGACCTTTTGTAGAAGCACCCAGCAAACTACTATCGTCGACTGTTCCCGGCGCACGTTTATAGACAGCCAATAACAGTATACTGATACTCAATACCCACCGTTGATCTTATCATCTTTCTCCCTTGCTTCGGCTGGCCGGCACTCCAGGTTGATCCTACGTAAAGTAGCATATGAGAGTTTAAAGCCATTCTACCGGAGTTGAGATCTTCGTACAGCACTAGCATTCCCAAAGAGCTATGACGTTGTCGCTAAGCGACCTGGTAAACATATTTTAAGGTGAATCCAGAAAGTGCTTCAGGACGTCGTCACTTAAAACCTCGTTTTCTTCCCAGCTACCCCCCTACTAAGAAATCTACGCCCGTTCCTAGATTATATAAACACCACACCTCCTCCCTCGAAGAAGCGCGAATGGTATGGTCCAAATTAGAAACCTGAATATTGGCTTTTGTTAATCGCTCAAGATTTGCAAGAACAAATTAGTGCCCTCTCCCCAGGACAACTCACCCTGTGGTCTGTTCAAAGCTATTTAAAGAATACTTTTTTTACCATCGCAATCTCAGTGTTTGAAGTTTATTTTGTTAGTAACAAGTTTCTTTTTATTCATTTTTTTAAAGCACAGAACCCTAATCACCAGATATTAGAAGCCGGGTGCAAATGAAATATTCTAGACAACCTTTAATAAGGGTCAAGGCTCCTCACTTGACGTAGACGTCCCTCATGGTAGCAACGGTGACTCCAATGGCGCCAATACCAAGGCTGGACTGATGCAATTCCAGCTCCTTAAACATGGAGATGAAACCCCGATGGCTGAGCGTGTTTAGGGCCACGATCACCTCGTTTTGTTTCTCCTTTTCCTCCGCCTTAGGAGCCGTCTTTTTGATGATGTTCACCACCGTGAGCAGAGCGAAGGTCCCGGGCTTCTTGAGGATGCGAAGCTGGTAGCCGACGCCTGCGCGAAAAGGCATTTCGCACGCCGTTAATGCTGGCCCGCACAGTTGCGTTTAAAGGGGTACTCCACCGTTTTTTTCATTGTCTCCGATTTGCTTGCAATTTTGCTAAACTAACGAACAAACATTGCTAAAATAGTATCCCAAATATTAGGTCAAAATATTGTTTTTTCGCGAAGTTATTGAATTTACAGTTTTGGTCTTCACCATGTTTTTCAAACTGAAAGTCTCTACTGGCAACAACAACAAAGTGACGTCAGTGGAAGGCAGGGGTTAACTTTTTGGACTACAGAAGTTGTTCCCAACCATTTGAAGCAGTTTCTTGGTGTCAAATGAGTGCTTTGGAAGCTCGCTCCCGTATCCGTGCTCCAGCACGGAACAAATGTTTGGGATATTCTATTTTTAGACTACTTGCTCGACTGGCAAGCCTGCCTGCCACTGACGTCACGGCACTGAAAAGTGCACGAATATTTGAATATTGGTTTTTGCACCATTTTCATTTGCCGATTTCACAATACCTATTATGAATTTTGCGATACTAAATAGCATACCGGAAAGGCTAAAGGCCGGTGAGTCAGAAAATATAGTTAGTTGAGGTAGCTCAAAAAATCGGTGGAGTACCCCTTTAACTGCCAAAGACGGCGCTACAATCGGTTTTTAAGCCGCTTGTACTGCTTACGACCGATAGTACTCCCGCGCAGCCTGTCTTAAGCAGTCACAAAAGCGAACATAGCGTCCTGTTGACGTTGGGGACCGCTACAATCAGCTTAGCTCGCGATTTAACTGCTTTTGCTGCTGTCTCTTAGATGACAGGTGCGGTGTGCAGCCAGTCGTGAGCAGTACCAAGCGGTTTCGAAACCGGTTATTGCAATATCCAGTCGTAGTCAAGCGAAAGTGTGAGAACAAACTTGCGAACTTGGATAGCGAGAGGGCCTCACTGCTGAGGCAGCGTGTACTAAAGTCTAAAGGCTGATCCCCAGACTTTCTCTTCATATATACTACCGACCGAAATTGTATTCCTTTAGAGGAAAATAAATATTTGACGAGCACCCAGCTACGTCACTTATTCTAGGTGTCTTAGCTTCGTCCTCGTCGCAGCGAGCGGTCGAAGCACCCTTTCGTCTGTCCGCTGCGCTTATCGGGACATATGGCGCCATACGTAACAGCCATCGCTAACTCAGCCATCTGCGAACAGGTTTGCCACTGATTATAGCAAGTTTGTAGGGCTCATTTTTCGCAGGAAGAGAGCTACGTCTTAAAATTTAAGCTCGTAAACAACCCGCCTAAATGCAAATTCGGTGAAAGTATGAACTTTCTGTCTGCCGGCGCCGATTTTTGCGGCTTGTTTTACAGCGGCAAAATTCACTGTAGGCATGCCCTATATTTTAGTCATGAGCAACTGTCTCTAATGAGCAAAACGTCAACAGTCACTGTGAGTCTTTAAGGTCTCCCCACTATCGTCGATCACGTCTTTTTTTATTTTCTTGTACTGGTGCCTGGAACGCGTCTCCGATTGGCGTGATAATGTCTAATTCCGCTCATACATCGAAACTGGTTCCGAAGTGGCAACTACTGACGTCATAAAAGCCTGAGTGGCATGCTGTTGTTGAATGCCGCGATCCTTGCAGTCGGCGTAGAGGCTCTGGAAAAAAAAAAAAGCATGAGAGAACGCGAATTTCGCCGTGGCGTCCCAACTCCTGCCCGCTGAAGCTTCCGTGAACTGTCAAGCTGGAAAGCGACATGCAGCAGAACAGGCGTTGCCGCCATTATCGCGGCCGCCATTATCGAGGAGGAAATCGAGGGATCACCCTTTTGGGACGCAGTAAATACACCGGTCGCGGAGAGGGATTCCATGGACCAGACTTGGACGCACCGTAAGCTTTCTTGAGGAAGGCGGGTGATCCGCTGCAGAGCGCCCTTCCTTCGGCCATGACCACGATGCGGTCGGCCAACACGTCCGCTTCGTCCATGTCGTGCGTGGAGATGATGAGCGTGGTCTTGGCGCGCATGCCCAGGAGCAGGTCCCACACTTCGCGCTTGTTCTCGGGGTCCAGGCCGGCGGTGGGCTCGTCTAGAAGCACCACCTGCGTCGGTTTAAACGTACCATAAAAATGCGTCCGAAAACAAAATCTAGCTAAAATAAAAAGCGGTTATGTATGAATTCACAGTGAAGTCACAGCGATAGCTGTATCGGACCCTAACGCATCCTTTCGTAACCAAATAAACGCAGAGGCCTTCTCACGGACACCTTGTCACATGACTCCGCGACGTCACGTGACCTCGCTAATCTCGTGACGTCATGATGTTGCGTGATATCATGACGCCATGACACCAAGATGTTATGATGTCCCGTGAGACACATGACACGAGACAGAGCATTGGATGCAAATACATTATTTCGAGTTTGGAGGAAGACCACACAGCAGCTATCGATGTAAAAACAGAAGTGCCGATTGAGCTGCGCGTAGGGCAGGGATGGGCAGTATTTTAAATACAAGTGTTTGAAATACGTATTTCAAATACTTTGTGTATTTTGCATTTGTATTTAATTACAAATTGGGTAATGCATTTGACGTGTGTATTTAAATACTAAAACGTGGGTATTTCAAATACAATTGTAATTAAATACAGTTTTGTGGGCGAAAATACACCCCTCAAATTTAATGTCACGGCAATTCTTGTTTCTATGCATGGGGTTGTAAGATATAGTCTCCATCCTTTATTCGGCCATGGGGCTTTTTTCTTTCTCTCCTCCGGCTTTATTTGAAAGGCACTGTCCAGAGCAGGAAGAAAACTACGTTCTGCACCGGATGCAGTGTCTCTCAATCAAGCACAAGCGTTTAGTGACTTTGTGATTACGGTGCTAGTCCAGGGCAATAGTGGCGAAATCGACGTTCACAGGCAGACTGGCTAAATAAGTGCCTGTGACAACTTGTGATGCTTTCCAGCCTGATTTCCATCCATATTTTTGTCTGGAACATTCTAAATGCGCGGGTCGTCCAGGTTTTCGTAACTGGTGCGAGTTGCAACAATAAAAAATTCTCTAGCTAGTGCTGCGCGTCTTGGTCGTCTCGGTTCTTTGTTGGTCTATACCAAAACGTAATCAACAAAAAAAGCTGCTTGAAGCTCTGTACTTTTTTCACCTATTACGTCCAAGCTGATTACATTTTTTTTTGTGATTATATTTCTATTACGTTACTAGAGCCTCGCACACTAACTCCCGAGTGTGTGATGCAAAATTAATATGAGATACCCAGAAACCTGTTGCAGGTGCCCTGAAGTCGCTGACGCAAATTTTGAGGAATGTATTTGGAAAAGTATTTGGAGTAGACAAAATACATTTGGTTGTATTTGTATCTTGTACTTAAATGCTTTTCTGGAAATGTAATTATATTTGTAATTAAATACATTTTTGACGAAGTATTTTGTATTTGTATTTCGATACATATTTGCATGTATTTTGCCCATCCCTGCTTAGGACTATACAGTAGGGGAGACTCGTTCGACTTACCTGCACCTCCTGCACCGGGGCAGAAAACTGCAGGGCGGTGTACTTCCGGTATGTATACTTCTTGAGGAACAACCGGAAGCACACCGGCCTGCACTTTTCCGCACCGGTGCAGGAGGTGCAGGCCAATCGAACAAGCCTAGTGCACACCCACTTAACTCTCTGACGTCACACCACTGCTGTGGCGGCGCTGCTGTCGCCTCCACTGTGCAAGCGCAGACGCTTCACTTCCTCCTACTTTGGTTTCTGCGCTACGAACAGTGCCCCACCATGCGTGGGCAAACGCGCCTTGTCTGCAAACAGCGTGGCGGTCGGTTTACCTTGGGACTAGAGACGACGGCCATGGCGATGGAAAGCCTCCTCTTCATTCCTCCCGACAGTTTTTCGGGTAGATCGTTCAGCTTGCTGTCAAGTCCCACAGCCATGAGCGTATCTCGAGCCTGGGTTTTGGCTTGGGTTCGTCCTAGTCCCTTTAACTGCGTGCGAATCATAAATGTGTTCCGTTGAGGGTCTAAACAAGATGTCAACGCGGCAGTCGTGTTTCAAGGCGCAAATCAGCTCAAAACGTTTAAGTTTAACGCACATAGTGCCAAGCTATAAAGCAGGGAGGCAAGCTCATTGGCGGTCACGATGCATTGGTGACACAAATGTTTTTTCAGAAGAAAAGCGGACACACACGTAATGCTGTTCGCAGCATTTACCGAAGAATTTTCATACGTTCTGTGTACGCTTTACACACACACACACACACACACACACACACACACAAAAGCTTTATTAACGTTTCGAAATGAATATAAAGTGATGCGATTGATTTGCTTATTTTTAGTGGTACTGTTTAAGTTTGTGTGTGTTAAAGTGGATGCTGAACCGCAATCTGGATTTCGCAATATAAGGCCGCAGAAGCGTTGAACGGGACGCTACGGACTCGAAAACATCACTGATACATCAATACCTCAAACGGATGGGCGTATGTTTGGAAAGGCAGGGCGCGATCAAGCGAGGACGATGACGTCACGATCCTCCTGGAACAGTTGAGAATGAGAGGGAGCTGCCTCGCTTCGGCTCACCAGCCAAAACTCGAGGAGACGAAGCGAAGAGGTGAGGGAATGAGAATGGTGACGTCACGTCTCGTCGGCCCCGTCGGCCGTGTTCAATCGCGCACTTCTTTTTCAAAAATACGGCCATCCATTAGAGATATTGTTGTATAAGTGGTGTTTTTGGGGTTTTGCAGCGTCCCGCCTATCGCTCCAGCTTTGTTTTGTCAGCTCCAAATTGCGGTTCAGTATCGCTTTAACATATCCGTATTATGAGGTTTAGTAAAAATACACTGAGCTTTCGCACGTTAAAATGTTAGAAAATTTTAGTGGAACATTTTTAGACTCCCATATACCTAATAGCGCTCCCTCACAATCGCGCTTGTAAAGAATTATCAAGCGACTCTGTTTCGGCGATAGTACTCAGGAGTATCGTTTCGGGACATTTGGTGGCTATACGAATTGCCTTAGGTCGGCTGATCGCAGATTGCAGTCGGCAAGCTTGCAATGGTAGAGAGAGAGCTTCACAAAAAGACTGCTACGCAGCCGTACTTTACACCATATTTGTCTTTTGCCTTACGTGATATAAATTAAAAAAGTGCATATATGTTTTATCATTCTGTCACTCCAGGCAGTCTCACAAGTCACCACTAGAGAGCACTGTTTTTTCACTGATGTAATTAGAAAGTTTTTCCTCAATATACGGCGCAAGCTGCCGACCAAATAAAATGATTTAGTCGTATCCATCCATCCATCCATTGATCCGGTGAAATCGGCCTTCTTACACCGTCCTTCGAAAGTGATTTCTCGATCGTCCTGATAACTTTACCATACAAATATCTGTCTCTGTTTCTGGAGTGTGAGAACAATATACTAAAATGCCGTAATCAGATCACTACGGTGGACATTTTCACCAGGGGAGAGGATAAAGAAGAACAAGCACAAACACGAGCCTCCACGCAGAGGTTACAATTAAATGACTTCCGTCGAATCCCATTCGTGTTGATCGAGCTTCATTAAAAATTAGTCAGAGGATCCTAATGAAATCGCTCTCATTATTAAGGACATCCTGCAGCACGCGGGGAAGCAATCACCACTCGAGTTGCGTTCTGTACAAATACAGACATAAAATATGTGCTGGGCTTTTTTAACTATAATAATGGTGCCACAAAACACCTTCCTTCCGATTTTTTTTTTCATTTTTAACGCGATAGAGTTTTAAAGAAACGAACGGTACGTTGGATACCACAAAGGTTCTCATTCTTGGCAGACAATGGGCCGCATCTCAAACTCAGCTTGTGATGTAAAAAGCACACAAGAAAGCGCCAAGTGCGCGTCATTGTATGTATACGCATTTATGTATAACCTTGGCGAAGTAGACGACATGTTCCCAGGTGGTGAGGTCGGTGAAGAAGACGTCACCCTGCTGACAGAAGCCGAGGCTCTTCCGCGCATGCGTCGTGTTCTTGACGATGTCGTAACCGCAGACGAGTGCGACGCCTCCGCTGGGTTTCAGCATGCCTGCACCGGTCACCGGTCTCGGAATAAACAGCTGTCTACGCCGTCTCTCGAAATGCTATCGCGTTTATGACATGCAATAGCAAATAAATATGTAAAAGAAACACACACACACACACAAGTAGCATTCGTGTAAAAACAAAATTATGAAACAGATTCCTGGCCTCTAATTTCGGTCGCCATCCTGGAAACATTGTATGAAACTACGAAAAAAAAAAGTTAAAACCAATCTGAGAAAATTAAAGTGAATCTTCACACACTACAAAACTGCCCTCCTCGGCAGATAATAAGCTGGAGCTTTCCGGGCATGCGCTATGTGAGTAACGCGATCAAATGTGGTGCGCACTGAATACCATCTGTATAGACAAACGAGCGCTCTGACGTCACACCTCTGCGGTGGCGCTGCTGTCGGCCGGGCGCTAGAGTTCCTGTATAGGCTCCCTACGGGAGCCAGAGTTGCGCATTTGTTTTCCCCGCGCCGCCACGCCGCTATTCGCCGAGATCCATCACGTGAGGAGCAAAGCATCCGGTGGCGTGCAAGAAAGCCACCTTTACTGTCGCTCCGCCGACGTTCCTCTTGCCCCGGCGTATGTTTCCCTGCTTTCCGCCTCCTTTTCCTCCTCTCCTGTTTTCTATGCGCGGCGCCGCTATTCGCCAAATTTAGTCACGTGAGGAGCAAAGCATCCAGCTCGTGCGGGAAAGCCGGCGCTACGGCCACGCGCCGAGGCTGAATGCGCAACTCTGCTACCGTAGGTAGCTATACAGGAACTCTACCGGGCGCACGCGCAGAACGCCTCACTCCACAAGAATATATAGTTTCGGCGCACGCGCAGTGGCTTCGCCCGGTGTGTGCGTATCAGGGATTGCTTATAAACAGCGCGTTAGCGTATTAGAGAGTCAAAAAGGGCCGTTAGGATCACTTATAATTAATAAAAAGAAAATGTTGGTCACAATTCTCACCGGTCAGTATGTTCATAAGGGTTGACTTTCCGGCACCGTTGTGTCCGAGCAATACCGTGATCTGCGACTCGTACATCTCCAGGTCGACGCCGTCCAGCGCCTTGGTGGTCCAGAAGTTCTACACAAACAGGAAGGCGCAAAATATACGGTCGTACAGTGGCCACCAGAAAAAAGAGAAGCGTCCCCGTTGTCTGCGACATTCGTTAATTTTGGCCTATGACATTTTCTGTTTCGATATTGGTACTCTCACTCTCACTCTGAGTTTCAAGAATTATTTGATGCATGCGCCCAAAAAAAAACAAACTATTTTCCATAAAACTCCTAATCGGCTACTTAATAAATTGATTACTCAATAACTGTGCTTTGATCTACTGGTGCGTATAAAACGAGATATATAAAAATAAAAAAAAATAGCCGTATGGTTAATTAATTGGGAGAGGGCAGTGTTAGACACAATACTCGATAAAAGTATTTAAGTAAAGTTACTAAATACCTGCGTCATAAAGTATTTAAAATACTACTCAACTTACTTTCACTGTAAAGTATCTTGAGTACAGTACAAATACTTAGAAATGTATTTCAGTTACTTTTGAAGATACTTCCGCATTGTTTAATTTGTATCGACGTCATTGACAACGACAATTATGCAGCTACGCAAATCTGGGTTACCAGAATGGTTTATTAGCACGCAACAACACAAAACGGGGAAAAAAAGTATCGTAGGGCTATTTTATGCAGTCCGACTATAAAGAGCAAAATATTGTCACAAATGATAAATGATGAGGCGGCGAATAACTGAAGAAACTAAACGTTTAATGGGGCGAACTTGTTCCCAAAACAAAGGAGAGAAAGGCTAGCGTCGCAGGGGTCGATGTCGGCGAAACAGCAGGATCGACCGCTGTGGCGAGACTGACTCCGGACCGCCACTTGGAGCACCTTTTGTACCCGCGTGGGTTTCTGGAACATTCGGCGTAGAAAGTTCGGCGCGTAGAACATTCGTGACTCAATCAGACGACAAAATTCTCGAACTTACCAGAATGTCAAGTTGAAGGAATAAATAAAAGAGAAGTCCGCTTTCTGGTATTGAACCCGGAGCCTCCGCGCGAGAGCCAAGCGCGGTAACCATTCGGCCTCGCTGGGCAACGCACGTGGCAATATCACTGATAGATGTTACAAAAAATATCTGAGACAACAAGAAAAGGTCGCTTTAGTTATTGGGGAGAAGATCAAACCGCGGCGCGCCAAGCGGTTAATTTTAGAACTAGATGGATGGGGACAACAAATACAATGGCTCAGCGCTCGGCTGACTTAACCGAACGCGGCGTCAGCGTTCGGCTGGAGTTCGTGTTCTCCGGGGAGGGGGAGGAGGGGCTCTTTTGTTACCACTCCGGCCTGCATGAACAATGCAGCATGCACCCTGCCCAGCTCAGCACAAAAGCCCAAGTGGGTCAAGTTCGCATCCTCTGACGACTGCATGCGGGGGAGATCCGGCACTTAACGTCACTTCACTAATTGTTGGTATTTTTTCCATTACACTATGCCCGCGCTCTATTAAAAAAGATGACACGAACATGCCCACAATGCCTGTGGGCATGTGCATAGGCCTTGCGTTGGGTAAACACCAAGGTGTGGGGGTGACAAACGGGTCAGAGCGCTTCGCCAATAGTGACATCGCTGAATATCACATCCTGCGACCCACCTTAGACGCATCGTTTTACTGCAATCCATATTCCCTATACGGGGAGTTCACTATAAACGAACTTGGGACACAAATATGAGTGAATGGATAACAAAGAGAACCCACATAATAGCCACGGCAGTGGTCGCACCTTCTTCAAGTAGGTTGCGTTCAGAAAGGCACTCCGCGTTGGGGGGCACTTTGTTGGGATTTTGAGACGTCGTCCAGCTTGCAGTTCGTTTCCTGTAATGTTCTCTGCTTATCAATGTTTCCTTGCAGACCGTGTTCGCGAAAGCAATAAGTGCCAAACTGACAAAAAACAAAACAAAAAAAAACTTCCACGTTTTGCTTTAGCGGGGTCAAATATACAAAAAACAAAACAAAGATGTCTACTTTTTTGTGTGGGTCCACTTCTCATTCTCTTCTAGTTGTTATTTCTTGACACTTAAGTCTGCATTGTTCTCGTAGGTCGTTTCCCGGTCTGCTTGCGCCTTCGGGTGGCATCTTTACTTCCGTAAAACCGCACTTTTGGTTTGAGGATTTTTTTGGGGGGAAACTCTATAGAAACAAAAGGCGCCTTTGGAAAGGCGAGGGGAGACCCTTTCCTGTACGAACTTTAGGCTGAAATATGAGTCACAGTCGGCAAAAAAGTGATATTTTCACGAGCTCAGTGAAAGTCACCGTAGCTAATCGGAGCTAGCAGCAGGATTCGGTTACTCGAAAGAATGTTCACGTTTGCTCGTGCCACGCCCACCCCACTTCATACCAAAAAAATCAGAAAATGGCGGAATATCAAAAATGCATTTAAGATAATAACTACAAGATACTCGGAATGGTAATTAAAATAGAGTATTAAATACTCTCCATCAAAGGTATTTGCAAGATACCAAGATACTCCAAGAAGTATTTAAGATACAGTATCTTGACTAGAGTATTTGAGATAGGCACAAGTCTGGTAGAGGGTGGTACTTTACATAAATGATTCGAGTAATCAATTGTAGCTTCAGTTTTCCATTGATGGTGCACGACGTTTAGAATTGAAAGAACTTCATGAATAACCTTTTGGAAGCCTCAGAGGGAAATTTTCTAGCTGACTACAGCTCGGAGCAGTGGAGGAAAATTTATATTTGCAGAATTCAAGATTGTTCCTCCAGGTTCACTCGTCACCCCCCTTTTAGATCTGACTGAGTATCACACAGGCGTGTATTAGTGCAATCACTAATCCGTGATGCACATTAAAACACCTGGTTATCAGTCATACCGCTCTGAGTAATTTCCTTCTTACCTCGTTGCGTCAGCGTCGACATATCCCGCGGGCAGACCGACCTCACGTCACTGTACAAACCTCCCCAACGTCTAGTTTTGATTAGCCTTAAGACGTTTCACAAAGATAACTGATCTTTCAGAGACTTCAGGCTGAGAGACGAAGCAGCCGAATAAGCCGAGTCTCTTATTGCAACGTCGGCTGCCATTCTGAGACTTCCAGGAGGTAACCTGTCAGGTGCTTCCTAAAGCCACTGGATCCTGGGAAAGTTGCGCTAAACTGCCCGTTTGGCCGCCACTTTGGTTAATAAAATTAGCAGTTCCTCTTTGGCCTCTCTATCTTTGGTGAGGCAATGCAAATTTGATGGTAAAAGGTAGCTTTATAAGGACGCTTCTTGAATACCGAGATTACTTTACCCACACACCGGCGAAACAAGCGCACGCCTTCGCTCACCCACCGCATGCGGCGTCGGTGCTTGACGGCATTGAAAAATAATTTCTCTCTCTTAAAATAGGCAAGGACAACAATACCACTGTAAGAGATCTGGGGAGATAAACATGAGTTGATTTGGGGCACAGTGCCCAAGACGCTTATATTGGCGAGGAACGCTTTCAGTACGATGACGCTCCATAGCGATCTTGACGCGGTTCAGGACCCTTTCGAAGCTTCGTAGATTTTAATGAACCGAGGTAACGACTGGGCCATGGAAACTGAGACAGGTCAGCCAATTACCTCACGAGGTTTGGTCGTTTGTATATATAAGCATGTTTGTGTCCGGCTAGCAAGCAGGGAAGGCAATGACGCTACTTTCCCAGGACACAGTAACTTTACCCTTTCCTATCAGCTTGGACTACCTTCGCGTGTTATTAAGACGCTATAAGCGTCAGATTCGAGGTTTCAGGCACTTTCGTTTGAGCGTGACCAACAGCGTTGCAATCGTTGTGACTGCTTCCGAGTCCCTGCAGGAAAACCGCTGACGGCGCCATCTATCGTGTAGCTAAGGAACCGCTTCTGCAACCTGCGTAAATTACCCAAACATTTGTAGTATTTTCGAAATAAAAAAATTGTACTATATGTGAGAAATTAATATGAGAAATATGAGAATAACATCCTCAAGAAATTTTAAATCCCGGTATAAAAAAAAATAACGAGCAAAGAAAAAAATATATTTTCTTTGTCATGCCCGAAGGAAAAATCCATCAATGTAACCCTGTTTGGCAGTCAATGTTTTCTAGTGGACCGCTGACTGTGCCTGACTGTACGTCAAGCATGTCTGATTGGCCAACAGGTTACTCTGACCGACAGTCAAACTCCAGTCAGACCCCGCTAGTCGGCTTTCTGGTGGTTTCCTGGTGGCAGTCGGCCGCCGCGAAATGCCATCAGGATGTCTTTGGTGGTGATTCTGACTGTACATCGATTGTCTCTGACTGTACGTCAGAAAGCTTTGACGTGCAGACAGACGTACGGTCAAAGGACGTAAAGTTCGTTCGGATACCACTATTTCGTCAAATCTATGAATACGAAAAGTAATCTATGCACGAGAAAACGATTTCGGGACGTGAGTCCATAAAACCGCTGACGTTAGAGATATTACACGCAACCGACCGACAACCTTGATCAGAAGCCCGCCGAAGCGCCGAAAACGACACTTCACACTTCGCTTCGCCCGTAGAGGCTTCGCCGAGCTTTCATGAACGATCGCTCTCGACTCGTTTTGTTTGCCCACTTGCTCCAACCTGTCGATCCTGCCCGGGCTCTACAATGTCTTATGTTTTAGTAGAATTTCTACTCGACAAGACCCAGCCTGTTGTGAGTTCTGACGATGTAAAGGACTTTAGCGGTGTAGTTGAAGACGACAAGGTGTACCAGGTCTACTGGGCCGGTGACGCGCGAACGAAAGGATCGTTCTACGACGCGAAAGTGCTCTACATGGCAGGTGAGTAGAACTGAAGTACGGCGAGTGATGTACGAGTGCTTTGCATAACATGCTGAAGTCTTAACTGCATTTGCAACCGAAGCATCTCGTATAAAACGGATGGTGAAATCTCGTTCCCTAAGAAGCGGCGTAGCATAGTGGTTACCGTGTTCGATGTGTACGCAAGTGGTCGCGGGTTCGATCCGCGGTGGTCCTGCTTTTTTTGTTTCTTTTTTTTTTTCTCGAACATTTTGTTTTATTGAGGCATTTGGCGATATTTATGAGTGCGTATAGCTTTACTCTTATATAAATGCTGCCCTTGTTGATAAAATTCCCTTGGAAGTGGCAGTCAGACGTCATCTGATGGACCATCAGATGACGTCTGATGGTCCATCACGTTCCACCAAGGCTGCTGACTGGCAGTCAGTGTCCCAAATTACGTACCTTGATGGAATTTTCAATAGGGTGGTCACGACGCACTAAAGGCTCGTTCACACAGTTGCGTTCGACTGCGACTGCAACCACTTGCGACTCGTTAAGACAGCTTGCGTCAAGCTGTTGCTGCGGCGACCCTTACGACAAGCCAATGGAGAGGCGCTGTGCTGCAAGACGCAGCGCAACGCGGTCGACGCAAATGTGTGAACCAGTCTTAAGTCGCGTTCAAACGCAAATTTGTGAACCGGCCTTGTGTTGGTGAAACGTGACGGTTTACCTTGATGAGATCCCTCGTGACGATCACGGGCTCCGCATCGTTGGGGGCCCTTTCGAAGTGGTTCGGGTTGTGTCTTGCCGTCAGGTTTTCTGCCGTCCGCACGGGAGCCGGAGGGGACCAGTAACTGGGCTGCAGAGAGGCGCGATACTCGAAGCCGGTGGTTATGAAAGAAGTCGCGACGATGGTCGCAACCTCGACCGCGATGATTCGCGGACCTCCTGTTGTTACTCTGCCACGCCGGTTTAGTTATCGCACTCTAAAACAAGAGTGTATTCTTACACCCTTTGTCCCATGAAATACACCCCAAAACTTCAGTTCGACGTAGAGCGCACTGCCGTCGATCTGACGGTGCCAACTTTCACGAGAGGCTTGATAGCCGTGTGGCACAAGTTATTAGAATAGCTAATGTACGTGTTACTTACTACAAAGAAAAAAAAAATAATCGGAGTTTTCTGGGCCCTACTGCGAAACCTCAGTGTTTTTTTTCTGTGGTCTTTGATACGTACTTTAGCTATTTTAATAAGTTATATCGCACCGTTATCAAGCCCCTCGTAAAATTTAAGGCCGTCTGTTATACTATAGGGGGCTCTACGTCGAACAAAAATTTTGAGGTGCATTATATGGGACAAAAGAGTGTAAGGTGATAACTTTTTTTTTTTTTTTTTTTTTTTTTTTTTTTAGAGTTTGGGTGTACTTGATTGAAAGAGTCCTGTGTTGCGATTGGACGCATATTTAAAATGAGACCGGTGTTTAGGCAAGTTTCATTGTCTACCGGTTTTAGGTTTCCGTTCGAGCCCCTGACAACACAGGCTACGGGTGGGAAAATGTGCAGAGTTCCATATGAAAAAGGCTGTTTGAAGAGAAATATTAGGGAGTTTTAGGGAACCATTTTTGCGCATACGATAAGGCAAGATGGATTCTCCGGTACGAACTGCGCATGCGCTCCCGCAGAAGATTCGCACATGCGCAGTTCGTACCGGAGAGCCCATCGCACCGTGTCGGATGTGCAAAAACGGTTCCCTGAAACTCTCTATTCACTATAAGCTCCGACCGTGAAGATGCGCGTGTGAAGAAGTGGGTAATGGCGCTGCCGGAGATTTTTTATCTGAGCTGCGTTAAGCCCCGTTCCCACACATGCGACCGAGTAAAGGCCCGTTCACACAGTTGCGTTCGGAGCGACCACTGCGCTTACGAAAGAATGCAACCGGTTGGAACGACGAGTTACCATAGCAACCAAACGGTCGTTTCGTTCGTGTTCGTTCGCAACGCAAGGAGTTGAGCCGGGCTGAACTTTTTCGTTACGTTCGGGAACGACCGCAACGACAGACTAGTCACAGGTCGAGGAGAGCTCCGTCGCGCGCGTTGCATGCCGGTTGTGCCAGGCTCCTTCTTTCTGCAAACATGTTGTCGGTGGTGATCGTCGATGTGGACGACGTGGTGGAAGCTCATCTTTCCGCGTAAAAGCGCTATCCTTGACTGTGAATTTTCGTCATGTATCGTTATGATAACCCAGCACGTAATAGAAGGGAAGATCCGCCTACTCGTGCGGCGATCTCGTGGTGGCACTCTCAAGACAGCAGAAACGCCCGTGACGTCGTCTTTGTTTACTTCGACTACAGTGGTGCTTTCTTAGCATTTGTGTCCTCGAACATCGCCCAGATTTATTTTTTGGCGCATTCCATGCGTGTGGTCAAGTTCAAGGTATTACTGGTGCGTACCGTACAAAGGATGCGAATTTTCACGCGTTTTCATCACCCGAGAAAGGTGATTAGTGTTAGCAATCCTGAACGCTCGCAACGTCTATCTGATTACGAAATTTTTACGTTGCTATATCGCTGCTAAGGTTACAGCGTATTTTATAATCGTAGAAAAGGCGTGTGGCGAGATTTGTACTGTTGGCAAAGTCGCGTTATAAAGTCGTAATCGTGCAAGACGGCGTACTGCACCTTTTTTTCTTGTTTTTAATGCACTACCTTGCAAGCGTATCCTGAAAAAAAAAAGTTTGTGGTCATAGAAGACGGTGTGTTAATTTTCTGTTACGCAAGTGAATGGCAGCGCGTCCCCTTCTTTTTAGAGGCACCACTGAAACAGCTGACTGCGGCGGAGAGGCGGTCGCCGTGCCGCCGACGCACTGCGCTTGTTGCAGTGGTTGCAGGAGTGTACGCGCGGCGCAGGTTACAACGGACGCAGTCATGGATAACGGGTTCGGGTTCGTGTCAGATGTCTGAACCAGCTTTTACACAGCTATTGTAGGCCCACAGCAGATCTTCTTGACTGTACGCCGTAGCCAAAACCTCCGGCTGCTCCGGTGAGGACGGCGGACCTCGCGTCGGGCAGGAAACCGTCCGCCATGTTTGTAAGCGTAGCTGGGTTGCTTACTATTGGCTAGGAGCTAGAACTGAGGTTCGTTTCTCATTGGCTGTTAAATCGTGTGGTTGCATGCGGTTGCATGTGTGTGTACAGGTCGCGTACAGTTGTCGTTAAAGTCGCAGAGATTGCATTCGTTCGTAAGCATACTGGTCGCTCCGAACGCAAATGTGTGAACGGGCCTTAAGACCGAGAGATACCAGACCGGTTTTTAAGCCTCTTGCGACGTCTAAAAACTGGATGCGCCGCAGCGGAGTTGGTCCCAAGACGTCGCAAGAGGCTTAAAAACCGGTCTGGTCTCTCTCCATCTTACTTGGTTGCACATGTGTGAACGGCGCTTTATATTTGTGTCGAGATGGCACGTTTCGCGAAGAAATAGGCGACAAAACATTGTTTCGCGTCGTGATAATCTAATCCAAGCTCGTTGATACAAAAAAAAAAAAGGCGCATTTCCACGTGGTGAATGATGCTGATTGGGGCGAAGCTCTGGCGGTGCTTGTCTGCGTAGACGCTGAGCCGCAGCATGCCGAGCCTTTCGTTGGTTTTCATCCATGTCACGCTGCGGTCAAATGCTCAAATGTGTATCTAACCACGTTCCATACCACACATTCTCTTTCTGACATGGATGAAAACGAACGAAAGGCTCGGCATGCTGCGGCTCACCGTCTACGCAGACAAGCACCACCAGAGCTTCGCCCAAATCAACATCATTCACCACGTGTAGATGCGTTTTTTTTTTTTTTTTTGCCCTACACGAGCACCGGAGCTCGTGCTCACGTGCTCGTGAGCACGAGCACCCGGCGCCGGACATCGGACGGGCATACGGACATGGCTAGCCCCTAAGGAGCTTCGCCCCTAAAAATAGAAACTATAAATATGCAGTGCAAAAAATCCTCTTGTACGCGGGGTGGGGGGTTGGGGTTTCAGCCCGCTCTTATTTTTCGCCGAAATGTAATCGCCCCCCCCCCCCCTAAATTACACCACTGGCAGAGTTGTAATCGAACCCATTAGTGCAAATCTTAGTGATTACAAAGCAATTATCACTACCGTCTCAAAATGATGTATATATACTGTAAATAAGTGAATAGGTGAAGTGCTTTTGTGTGTCTCTTCATGAATCATGCGTGGTATGCTCTACAGCTTCCCTGGCCAACACCCTTCACGAAGTGAAATGGCTGACAAATGTTTTTTTTTTTCTTCTTCTAAGCCTCAACTAACTGGCGGCGCTGCTTGTTGCAGCTCGTTGCTCGTAAGCAATGACATAGTGTTAGGACACCCAACACATCAGTCGAAGACACGTTTGAAGCAACGTTGTTTCACTGCGGAAAACGGTCCCTGCGCCCGAAGTGCCCCCCAAAGGTAAGTAGAATAGTCCAAAGAAATTAACAGAGTATACATGCCATGAGAGGAAAGAGCGGACTCTGAGGCAGCGCAGTGGCACAAGGGAGGACCCTGGTGAGGTACCAGATGAGGACGACCACCCCTAGTCCGCTGGAGACCATGACTAACCAAATCTCGATGATGGTCACGTTGTCTAGACCGAGCGCTCTCTTGCCGATGATGCCCCATCCGGCGTTTCCTGGCGGATGCATGCACGCACCGGCAAGCCAATAAGAACGTTTTGCCGCTGATATTAGAGGAATCGCCTCTGGGGCCTGTAAAGGGGTGGATCGTTCTTCCGCCAGACACGGGGGAGGGGCTAAAATATCTCACCCCCTTCCCCCCCTTCTTCACCTTACGATGATAGCGCGGCGCCTATACGAGTCATTCCATCTTCTATAAATGCATACCATTTATAGTGCCAGCTCTTAGCGCTTTCGTGTCCGTGGGATGTAGACGTAGTCTTGATGGTGACTCATGCTGATGACGTCACGGTGTTCAGGTGACGTCATCAGCATGACGATCGTGAGGTGACACTGCAGGTGCTTATACACGTACACGTAAACAAGCAAAAAAAAAACATCGGTCACAATACCAGGAATTACTAATATAGCGTAAAAACGATAAGCACCGGCATCATAAACACCTTCTCCTTTCAATACATTAGAATTCCAAACAGTTAGAACAAAACACACACACAAAAAACGTATATAAGGGTATATTCTTCAACTTTTTTTTACAATGATGAAGACAGATGATGTGGTTGCAGGATGCAGAGATTTCCTTCGATATCCGTATGCCCATAATGCTACATAGTGAAGAAGAAGAAACATATCAATCGTAAACACTTTCCTTTCTCAAGAAGGTTCTAACATAAACTTTGTTTAATTTCGGTGTACAGGGGCTGCAGTCGCTTATCACAAATCTTAGCGCTCGATTTTGATTTTGCTCTAATTTATATGCGAGGTAACTTTGACTCAGTAACACAGGTGTACTCAAAAATCTGACTCATGAAAAAAAAAAAAAGATTTCACATTGCGGGTTGTGTTTCTAAAAGTTCCAACGTATAAAATATAGTTTACAAGCTTTGGCTACAGTGATCTCTACGTGATCCTTCCAGTTTAAATTATATCAAAAGTAAATTCCGAGATACTTGTACTTTTCTACATGTTGAGTATAGATTTTTTTGCTTCGTCGATATTCCCAGAAGCACTCCATCCCGAAGGAAAAACAGCCCTTTTTAATTTTTAACGTAATTTCTTAATGACCTTAACTATTCAATTCAAATACAAATATTTAAATACGTATTTTAAAATAATTTGAGTATTTTGTATTTAATTACGTAGTGGGGTGTGTATATCTTGTTATTGTATTTGAATTCCAAACAATGGCTATTTCAAATCCTGCCAAAATACAATTTTGTACACTGTTCTTCGCAATTAAACACGATTTTGGGGACTCTTCTTTGCGATGAGAGTGTTAGAAAAACTATAAAACTTCCTGAAAAGTAATTGTTGTAACCGCTTATCATGTGCCGAATGACCCTTACTTTTAAAGCTGTAACACTTTCTTTTAAGATCAGATCAGTTTAGATCAGGTTTATTTCCCTCAAAGGTATCCCAATTGTGATACATTACATGAGGGGGGGGGGGGGGGGATAAATACAACATTCAATGTACAATATTAAAAGGTAAACAGCAAAACACACAAAAAACATTCATTGATCACACTTTACAATTGAGAATTACAAATATCGCGAAATTTATCAGTTTTAGTTTCATGGACGATGTGAACGGGTAAGGAATTCCAGGCGGCAATAGCAAGGAAAAGGGAGGAATTTTGAAATTTGTTAGTTCTGGAGAAGAGAGGCTGAATTTTTAGTGGATGATCGCAGCGCTTTGAAATGTAAGATCGATCTTGGAGTCGAGGCTACGAAATTCCGATGATGAGTAGTACATGCCATGAGGGAAAGCAAGACGGGCTAGTTTGGTTCTAACGGTTAGAGGTTTCAACTCCAAGTTGGTTTTAATAATAGTGACACTTAAGGTTCGTGAATAGTTATGCATGATGTAGCGTGATGCCTTGTTTTGAACAGATTCGAGCTTGTTAAGAAGGTATGCTTGATGAGGCCACCAGATGACGTTGGCGTATTCGAGTTTGGATCGCACAAATGCTTTGTAGGCGGTTAGTTTGCCTGTCCGAGATGAGCTGAAAAGGTTGCGTTTGATGTATGTGAGTGGTTTACATGCACTTGAAACGGTGTTACTGATGTGATCGTTCCAGGTGAGGTCCTCTGAAAAAATTACTCCTAAATACTTGTATGTTCGAACTTTTTCTATGTCCTTTCCGTGGAAGAAGGCTGACTGGCAATGGTTATAAATATTGTTTTGTAAGTGTTCAACCGCAGTTGCCATGTGATGCACCAAAGTGAAATCATGTTGAGGTCTTGCTGTAGCAGTGCTTGATCACCTACCCAGATGATCAAGCACTGGATTATTGGTACTTATTGACACCCTTTATTTAGAAACGGTATTTTTATTCGGGGTTTAATTTAAGTCTCCGATGTCAAACTATGGGAACAAAATGTATTGGTCAAAGTATTTGAAGGGGATGAAATACCCCTCGTTGTACTTGTATCTTGTATTTATATAGTTTTCTTTAAACGTAATTGGATATGTTGTTAAATACATTTCTATTGAAGTATTTTGTATCTGTGTTTCGACACATTTTCGCAAGTATTTTGCCCATCCCTGATCTCTAATAATCACATCAATATTCCAGCACTTTCGAATTGCTCTACAAACTACGTTTGGAAAATACCAGAGACATACAATTTTTATTGTTACTAGGATTAGGGGTTCTCGGTGTTACAAATAGGCATTTATATAATTAACAATTAAAATAAACTATTCAAAACGGTCGTGGCGTCAACTTCATCACGTGAACTCACTGACGAAATAACCGACATAAGCGAGCAGTGATGCTCAACGTTTGAGAGAGGGAACAGTGGTGCGGATATGCCATGCTTATTTTACTGATATTTCTGTTATAAATACTTTCTAGCTGCATCCGCGGCTGGGAAGTCCCTACTTGACGCATGGATCTGGAGAACACTAAATTAAATACCCGTGATCCTGGAGGCCTAATGAATATGATTCAAATGGTTTTTCTTCTCAGATATAAAACTAGTTTATCTTATAAAGCTTTTTTTCTTGTTGTTGTTGCTAACTTGTGGGAGAAATTAAAGGACTCACTAGAACACTAGAAAGTCATTCTTAACTCGCTGGTGGATTACATATAATTCACCGGCGAGTCCGAGATCTACATATGCGAAGAATCCACGAGTGGGTCTCAGATCTTCTTACGCAAAGGAAGATCTGGGACCCATCACCTCATCTAGTGTTGACGTCGTCCCCTATCGAAACCCTCATAGTCACTTAACCCTACCCATCCTGCCTCCGGATAACTCGGTCAGGACGTAGGCGGTCCCTCGGTAAAAACAAATACATGTTTTCTCTCGATCACTCTGTTGCTAACTCGTCTTTGCTTGTCTGTCATATGAGTGCGCTTGCGTAAGTGAGGTTCCAGGAGAAGAAGAAGAAGTGCCTGAGATTGAGGACGTAAAATTATCGTTCCGTCAATTCGACAGCCTTTTCGGTAGCCTATAGCCAGCTGTGACCTTCAAAGACCAACCATAAGAAGCTTCAGAACTACCGGCGACGTCCGAGCAGTCGCCAGTGAGAAGCCACTCGTAAGGGTGGTCTTTTCTAGACTCCAATCATGATGACCGGCTCCACGTTCAAACTTCCACAGCAGAGCACTGAAAGCGCCGCCACCAACGTCACAAACCCGGTATTGACAGACCATATCACCCCTGGACAACACTGCATGCCGAACGACTTAACTCACGATGCTCATGACACCGCGTCAAAATTCTGGACGTCCGAGTCGGTAGCGAACTCGTCCGAGGCCGGGGTCGAAATTATGGATGAAAGCAACACCAACAACGAAGAGTGGAACAAGGCACGATCACGTAAGCGCTCACACAAAACACTGTCCGACTCTGCTTCGAGTTCGGGAACAGTTCGCAAACAGCCGAACGTCAGTGAAGGACTCACAGTAATCTTTGCCGCTACGAAGCCAGACCAAAAACTAGCAACTTTAAGCAGCTTGAGGCTTTCCAACGCCCTAGAGAAGCTCTGTCCAGAGTGCATCCTTCAGATCTGCCCCAACGAGCGCCTCAACGTCGTCGCCGTTGATGTACGCAACGGAAAAACAACAAGGACGCTACAGAAATGTCCTGAACTTTGTGGTGTCCCTGTCAGGGCCTACCAATCCCTCGAGGGCCCCACATCGATTGGTGTCATAAAAAATGTCGATGCTGAACTGTCAGATCCTGAAATTCTAGAAAACCTGCGATCTGATGGCCGCATAGCCAGAGTACGTCGTCTAGGGGTGACAGGTGTCGTAAAGCTGACATTCAACAGCTCACCTTTGCCAAGTTTCGTGCTGCTAGGACGAGTACGACACCAAGTGACGGAATTCAAGCCCCGTCCAATCCAGTGTCGCAACCGTGGTGGTTTTGGACACTTTGCAGTCTCATGCACACGTTCTTCCGCATGCTCTCGTTGTGCAGAGCCGCATCCTATAACTAACACCACGAGCAACACCAAATGTAAATCCACAGTGATCAAGTGCGTCAACTGTGGGGAAGCACATGAAGCTACATCTCCAGCGTGTTCAAAATGGAGAGAAGAGCAAAATGTCGTCACGTACGCCAAGAGAAACGCCGTCGACTACCGCTCTGCCAGAATTATTGTAAAGCAGGCATCGGGAGCCATAACAGAACCCATTGACAATGTGGTGGCCAACAGCACCTCCAAGAAAAGTGGAGAGACCCCAGTGCAGGACAGGCAAGCCCCAGCTCTTGACGGTAAGGGGTTAAGCTATGCCGCAGCACTCAAGACCCATCCTCAAAAAAATATCGAAAGACCACCTAATAACAACTCTGCAACAACGTCTAATAAGCCAAAATCTGATGTCACCATTCAGACGGGCACTGAAAAGTCGACATGCAACGGAGCATCTATCAAAAAATCTGAACACTCAATGGGAGTCAATAATATTGAACAAACATCGACGGCCGACTCTTCAAAAAGATTACCCCGAGATGCTCCGGAGAAACCTACGGCGAATTGGATAAAACTATTCAGAATAGCAGCAGAAATGGCGTGCGCTTATCAAAATGGCATTGATGCCTCGTGGGCACACATCCTATGCGGTTTCATTCAGGCAGCGTTCCCACTGCTGAATGTAGCATAATGCTACATCCCAACATCCACCCAAAGAGACGCACCCGAAATATTGCATGTCCAACAGTGCTTCAATGGAATACTAACGGCATACAACAACGCCTCTCAGATCTACGCCTACATTTAAAGACCAACGGATACGACGTCCTAGCCCTTCAAGAAACTCGTATAAAATACGGCAAATTCAGACTTTCTCCATACGTCGTTTATCAGGGCCTACTGCCAGTTACTGAAAACACGAAGAACGAAGTGCCGAAAGCCACGATACTTGTCCGAAGAGAACTGGATCAGCATCAAATAGTTTGTTAAAACAGAAGTTCGGGCGAGTTGGTAGTTCATGACGCACGAGGACACAGCGCACCCGTAACTAACACTAGGACAACGTTCACAGTCACACCAAAAGAAAGGGACACTTACACAGCGCTGTGTAAGTGTCCCTTTCTTTTGGTGTGACTGTGAACGTTGTCCTAGTGTTAGTTACGGGTGCGCTGTGTCCTCGTGCATCAAATAGATTTGACAGACTTTTGTGACGATGCCGCTGAGTTCACCGCTGTAACGATACGTAAAGGGGACCGCGACACCACTATAGTTTCTGCGTACGTCCGCCCGGGAACCAAATGGGACTCTACGATTATGACGAAGATTATGCCGCGCTGCGCAGAAAACGTTCTATTTCTGGGAGACTTTAACGCCCATAATCACACCTGGGGAGATAAGCACACAACGACGCGCGGATCTGCTCTTGAGGCCACAGTGGACACGCTAGGGCTTGTTCCACTGAATGATGGAACCGCAACATTTGTCAGACCGGGGGTCTCCAACAGTGTCCTGGACCTCAGCTTCGCTACACCACAACTCAGCGCACGATGGCAACCTCAACATGACAGCTGGGGTAGTGATCATATCCCGATCATTATCTCCTCTCCAAGCTCTACAAGCGCTACACATAGGACATTGAGAGTCGTCAATTGGGACCAATATCGCTTGAACCTCCAAGACCTTCTCTCAGAAGGAAACGTCGATCTCACAACGGCTATTTCACAAGCCCTATACGACGCCACGAGGCAGGTCCAGTCCCGGTCTCCCGCCCGAATCCTGACCTCCCCTGCCTCAAGCTGAGGGCCCGCCGACGGCAAGCCCAAAATCGTTCGCTACGTACAAGAAGAATGGAGGATATTCAACGCTATAGGAGAATCGACGCAGCGTTCCGCCGCCATACTAACCGATTTTAACGAAAAAGTGGTGACAAAAATGTGAATCTCTTGGTGTTCCCGGTGGCGCAAGACAGGCTTGGAAGATGGCACGTGCTCTCGCATCAGAGGTAGTTCCTCGGCTTCAGATCTCGGCGTTTGCTATATCGCAAAATATTACATTAGCACGAACTGCCGAGCTTTTGGCCGATCAATTCTCCCGTCCAATCTCTCCGCCTTCAGACTTTCAAATTAGCTCATCAGTGACCCCCCTTTATCAACTGCCCAACATAGACTCCGACTTCACGCTTAAAGAACTTCAGCACGCACTTAGGAGATCCACCCGTCGTAGAAGCACTCCAGGGCCGGACGGGATAACGTACCAGGCTTTAAACAACATAGACCCCATCATGGTGCCTAAACTACTGGACGAGCTAAACTCAGTCTGGAGCACGGCGGCACTGCCGGATGCGTGGCTCAACTCCGAAGTCATACCAATCCACAAACCAGGCAAACCGGTAGAAGATTTGTCATCATACCGACCGATTTCACTCACCTCCTGCCTTGGAAAAGTTCTCGAACGCATGATACTTAGAAGACTAGACTGGGCACTAGAAACAGTTGGCCCGATTCCTGAACAAGTCTCTGGTTTCCGCCGTCGACGTTGCACGGCAGATGCTATTGGGGATCTCGTCTCAGCGTTGGAGGAAGCCAAGCAAGCTAATCACGGATACGCCGTCATTTTCCTTGATATTAGCAAAGCATTTGATGCGATTCCTCACGCTACTGTCATTAACCAGCTTCAAGTCCTTGGCGTCACGGGACGTACTTTGGCATTTATCAAGGCCTTCCTCACTGGCCGGACTATGAAAGTTCGCATCGGAAACGATCGCAGCACGATCAGACACATAACTCAAGGAGTTCCTCAAGGAAGCGTACTAAGCCCGCTACTCTTTAACGTTGCAATGGCCGCTCTTCCCCGAACTCTTGCCCGTGGTGACCGATCTTTAAAATTCAAATATACGCGGATGATGTGGCCCTTTGGGCCACGTCACCAACAGCCATGCATGCTAAAATGCAACGTCGTTTACAGCTGACTCTTGACGGTATTTCGAAGGAAATTACTCGACTGGGTTTAACTATCTCGCCATCTAAAACCGCGGTACTTGCTCGCCATCCACGTGGCTTTAAGGCCAGCTCTTTCACGGACTCTGTAAACGGTACTCCCATAACACGGATGCGCAACCCTATGTACCTAGGACTGGTTATTGATGACTGCCTTTCCTGGCGTCCAGCCGTGAAACAAACAATATCTCGGTGCGCCCTGCACCTCAACGTACTTCGCAGGATCCGAGGACAAACGTGGGGAACCTCGCAATCTATGACTCTGCAAATGTATAGGGGACTGATACAATCCAGGTTGCTCTATGCGCTCCCACTTGTACTCGTACGGAACGCTCAGCTCACGAAGATGGAGATCATTCAAAGGAAAGCCCTCAGAATCTGCCTCGGTCTTCCCCCGTCCGCGCCGAACGTCCCTACTTTGGTCGAAGCTAGACAAAACACAATAGTCAATCTAGCGTTCCGTCAGGCACAACGACATCTCGCCCGGCAGACCCTCACAAGGTCTACTTCCAACCTCTTGCAACGCTTCGATAGACATCCCAATTCCCGCCTAGGAAAAGTCTACGCAGAGTTTAAGGAGTCGGTCGGTACATTGGATGACGACCCTCCTCCACCATCCCCTCATACAACTGTGTATCTGAATATATCGGAAGAAATTCCCCAATTACGCAGCAAAAAGTTGGTCTCGGATGTGGTTTCCCGTAATCTTGCGGAAGAACACGTCCACAGCTTTTTCGACGGTTGGATAAAAGTTTTCACCGATGGCTCAGTCTGTCATCAAAAGAAATCCTCAAATGCTGCTGTAGTTATCCCTGAACTCGCCATTATCAAGTCCGGTAGCCTCAACTTTCACACATCATCCACCATCGCCGAATTAAAAGCACTAGAACTTGCTCTCGATACCCTCCACGACATTCAGAGCCCAGAGAAGGCGGCTTTGCTCACAGATTCCAGAGCGGCACTACAAATCCTCAGCCATCTGGAAGACGCACCTCCGATTGCCCACATCATCGCTTTCAAAGTCGAATCCTTAGAAAAGAAAGGCTGGACTATAGCATTCTAGTGGTTGCCATCTCACTGTGGGATCGACGGCAACGAAAGGGCCGACCGAATCGCAGCTAAGGCACATGAACTCACCAACAGCACTCTCCACGTGCCGAAGATCAACGAGGCCAGCTTCTCATTGCACGCGAGACGCAAAAAAGACACCCGGACCTAGGCGTAGCTGAAGGAACCCCACGATCACCGGTCCCCACCCAACTCGGCCGCCCAGAAGCAGCCCTTCTTCACCGACTCAGAACACGTTCAGCTTTTACGGCTTCTTGGCTTTACCGCATCAAACGCGTGGACAACCCACACTGTCAGACATGCCAAGTTCCCGAAGATATAGAACATCTCCTTTGTGACTGCCCAATCTTCGACGCTCAGCGTTCTAGACTCCACCTTGAACTTCGTCAAATAGGCGCAGCAAGGCAGAGCCTTTTGCACCTGCTCTTCCCGCCAGGTCCCAGGCGCATCGCTACGAAAACATTCGCGCTGCTCCTGACATTCCTGGAAGACACCGGCTTGGCTGACCATCTTTAATGCTTGGTGTCCCTTCCAGTTTCCAGTGCGGCGGGCCCGGCTTGGCGCAAGGCCTGTGACTGTGACGGGTAACATGACCTTCTGCCATTGAGGTGGCAGACCTGACAGTGCTGGACTAGATACCACTTAATATCTTTTGATCAGTGTGTGTCTTGTTTGAACCTTCTTCTCTTTCTTCCTTTTCTCTCTCTCTTTCCCTTTTCTTTTGCTGCTCAGACCGGGACTGGCAGGCCCCCATTAGAAGGAGTGGCCACACTGTTCCGGTCTTCCTCCCCCCCCCCCCCCCTTTTTCTTGGTTTTAAAATATATTTCAACGCTTACACACACATACACACGCGTAAGTGAATCGCAGACGCCCGGAATCTACGGAACGCCATGGTGGCGGCTGTCGCATAAAAGAGAGGTACCTATGTAATCGTTCTCCAAACTGATTACTTGGAGGACCAGACAAATGCCGAGCTGCGGAAATATGCAGGACAGGAGCTTGGTTCTTCGACCGAAGAAGATGTAGTCACCCACGCCACCGTGAATCCAACTTATGGCGTCCAACTCTATGAAGGGCAGCACCAGGTAAAAGGCCAGCCCCAGCAAGCTGGCGTACACTCCTGCAAAGGAGTGCAAGGTAGACGTGTTAAACGAGGCAAAAAGAAAACAAAAAAAGGTTCGAAGGCAGTTAATTATTTCGCACCTTTCGTGGCTCATTCAAGCACACACTGATGGCTTGTTTTTGATCGCTCGGAGAAGGCGACTCTGAATAATAAAAGCTTGAGGTACACCTAAGCATTTCTTATGAGTTGTGAATACGAAAGCATGCAAGCTGCTCGTCCACTCCCTTTGTCGTCAGCTCGTCCGCTTCCTTTGTCGTCTGCTGTCGTCCGCTGTCGTTGGAACGATGAGTGGATAGACCTAAAGCTGGTAGCTTTTGTCTCCACTGCCATAGCCACAGCGCTCGTCGAACGCGTTGTAACGCGAAAAGCCGGCTTCCGGCGTTTGGCTCTCGTATTCGAACGCGTTTGACAAGTGCAGTAAAGACAAAGACCGCTAGGTTTAGGTCTACCCACTATTTATTCGAATCAGAGCTCGGCGTTCTGTAATCCCCGGAAGCTCTCGTCTCCTTCTCCTCGTTTTCTCGGTGTATGTTCTTGTTATTGTGCGTGCGTGTGTGCATGTACGCACGTGCGTACGTTTTGTTTAACAGCGTGCGTGCGTGCGTACGTGTATGTACGTGCGCGTCTGTGCGCGCGTGCGTTCGTGCGTGCGTATGTAAATGAGTGTGCATGTGTTCACACGCATGTTTTAATTGACTTGTAGTGGATGACTCCCCATTTCGCAACTCTAGAGGCGAAAAAAAAACGTGAATGAAGAAAAAAGAGGGTATCTACCGCTTATCCAAGAGCACAGCAAGAACTACCAGCTGGCCCAAGAGCGTAAAGCAGAGTGTGAAGGCTGGAGCCTGGTTTACCCACTTGCGTTCAGTCCGACCGGGTGCGAGGGTTACTAAAGATGGTGTAAAAACGGCTTTTACACCGTCTTGTTGGAGCCGACGCAGCTGCTGCCATAGCAACCCTCGCACTCAGTCATACTCAACGCAAGTGTGTGAATTGTCCTTGAAGAGTTCGAACCTTTTGGGGACACGCAGGACAGGAGTAATATGAGCAGCGGAAGAAGAAGGCAGTAGATGAGGAAGGCCGCCAGCAGAAGGCTCACGGCCGTGTTTTCCAGAAAGACCACCCCGAGGTCACTCTGCTTGATGGTGACCATGTAGACCAGCACGATCAAGCTCTCGGCGAGGATGAGGACAAGGAAGGAGAGGTAGTGCCCGATCCAGTAAACGGCGTCTGACAGTCCCATCACGCATTGCAGTTCCTGGAACAGTGTCCAACGGCAGCCCGAATTTGCGTTCCAAGGTCCATATAACATATGTGATCAATGCCCCCTAGAAGACAAGACCAGCGCCAGCCCCCTCTCACAAACGTCATCACTAGTGAATCCGCAAAGCACCGCATACCTTGCGCCAGCACCGCTGCCAGCGTGGCGTGCAGAGTCTCTCATTGAACGCGACGCTTGCACGGCACTCCACCCATGTACCGAAGTTCTTCGGGGTCACTATCAGTTCGAGGTCCATATTTTAGTTATGAATTTATAAATATTGGGTCTCTGTTGTTTTTTTTTTCTTGTTTTTTTTTTGGGGGGGGGGGGGGGTTTGTGGGGGCTACTTGAATTCTGTATAAACCTCAACCTTCTGAGAAATAAAGTCAACTGTCTTTGAAACTGTGTGTTGTGCAGACGTGCTTTGTTTTTCTCCAGTTTCGGGGTTTTGTCTTAAAATATGTTCAACCATCGTCACATATAGTTTAGTAGCATAAATGACTCTTATCTTAAACATATTATAGACTTTAATTAAAAAATTACCCATATTGTCATGAATGTTAAAACGAGCGAAGCTCTCCCGTCAGCCTTTTTTTCTCGTTTAACCAAGGCCCGCTCGCCCGGGACACTTGGAACACTCGCCTTGAGTCCCGAGCTGGTCTCCCGCGTCAGGTTTGCCAGGTGCCGAAAGAAGAGCCAGACGAGAGCGATCGCGGCCACGACGACGCCGGGACGGTAATGCTGCGGCTCGGTCGGGAACTCGGGGATCGGCATGAGCCTCTGGTACGTCTGCGCGGAGGCACAGCGACCGCCACGCGTTTCTAGGTGTCATCGACTGGCCACCATTGTGCCTGAAGTGCGTCTCCGACGGGTGCGTTCAGCGTGTACTCAAAAGGGGTCCCTACAATTTTGCCTGAGGACGTCATAAAAGCGTCATGCTGTTGCCTGTCGCGACCCTGGCGGTAGCCCGGCAGCCGAGGTAGATCAGGAAGACGCCTGTTCTGCTGCAGGTCCCTTTGTAGCCAATTTGACGATGGGAACGAAAGCAGACACCAGTCGAAACGCCGCTCCCTCTTGCCTTTTTCGCCAGCGTTTTCACGACCAACCACCAGGATCGCGACGTCCAAAAGCATGGAATAGAGAGCATAGATTGAAGAGATAGAGGGTCCATCTCGAACCACGGGGAGCGTTTGCAATTTAATGGCGGACGCATCCTGCGGAAGCTGGTCGCAAGTGCACATATGCTACGTTTTCGCGTGGCGAAAAGGAAAGCAGACGGAAAGGCGGAGAGGTTTTCAGACGATCAACGCTTTCGTCACCTCCTCGCAGCTCGTGTTCGCAGACACTGCCTATAAACCACGTGACCTCGATCGTGCAGTTGGCAACTCTCAGACTGTCTATCGTGATACTCCGGCTTCTGTGACGTCAGTTGTTTCCGCTGAGAGATCACTCTCGTTGCATATGCAGGATAGGGACGAAAAGCGCACCAGTCGAAGACGCGTCCCAGGCACCACACCGGCCACAAATGAACATGCTCGTCAACGGGGACACACACAAACAAATACACGCAAAAGAAGAAGAAAAAAAAAAATATCTGGCGTTGGTGTTTATGGTAGACAAAACGTTGTCAGCGTGTAACATGAGATGAACGAGACCTTGGAAGAAGAAGTGTCTGAACAACGCCGGCAGAGGCGCCAAAATTTTGCTCGTGTTTCGCATATCTCCCAACAAGGGCAGTGTCGGTTTAGGCACTGATCTCTATGACAATTGCTGGATCGCGCTTCCCCCGCTTGGTTGCTGCAGCGCGAGTGAAGCCACCGGACGGCCATCTTGCTCGTAGACCAATTGCTGTTTTGCTAGCGTTGCAGGGGCTGGCGGCAGCGTGCTGAAGACACGTTTTCTACTCGTTCGTCGTCATTCGCCGGAGAAGTTTTTAAGACCCCGTATAAGCGTTGAGACTTGTCGTTGTAAACACGTGGAAGATTCTACGAAGGCGCAGTGCCGCGGTCCATCCTCACTGTATACAGTGGGTATTTCTCAAAGAACTTCGGGAGCTGCACATACTGGAAGCATCTCGGCTTTTGAAGTAGCTATCGGCTGTCGTCAAAGGCCCTAACCCAAGCAACTTCGAGAGGCAAAATGTCAAACTTGCCTTGCAGGTTTTTAATGCCTTTTTGGCCGAGGCCCTAGGTGCTTATCGTGATCTGCAAGCGTTTTTGCGCGCTAAAGAAACCACATATTTCATCAGGATTATTTTTAATTGGTGGAAGATAGTCAATGTCAAAACACCACAGAAGGGACATCACCGTCGTGGTGTCTATGAAGAACCAATTTCGTGCATAAATGACGACCCCAAGCTAGTGTTTCTGAATGCTTTTGTGACTTGGCTTGATGTTTGGGAGTTTTACAAACATGATAACGGCACACTCACGAAGGAGACACTTTGTGCTTTCAGGCTTTCAGCATATTCCTTGCTTGTGTTCACAAGGAACTGCCTTCTTGCACTCGGCTTCAAATATCAACTACTTGGAAAAGTACAGACAGACGGTCTGGAAAACAGGTTTGGTCAGAAGCGGCGAATGGCAGGGGGACACTACCATACTAGCATCCGTCAGCTTTATGAGAGTGAAGGTAGAGTTTGGCTGCAAAATAGAGTTTGGCTGCGAAATACCCTCCCCGTTATGAGCCCTGAAGACCTGATGGGCATTGACGACCCTTGCTCACCAATTGCCATGGATCATCCCCGCTTCAACATTGCAGTGTACCCTGCCGACATGAACGAGTGGAGTTCTCGTGATCCTGTTTTTGCTTACGTTGGAGGGTTTTGTGCACATTCTGTTTTAAAGACAGTGATGTGTAATTTCTGCCGTGAGAAGCTTGTCGTCGACCCCGAAGACGCCGAAGGTGATGCCGATGTCCACTAACTGACAGGACACCTAAATCGAGACTGGCTGAAGTGTCACAGTGAATTTGTTGTAACGATTGTAATACATTACGAAACTGCTGCAGGGGGCAAATGCCTCACTGTTTCTGCAACTTCAAAATCACAGGGATGTAGTTCGACATCTGGTAAGTGAAACTTTGCCGGAATTTGAAAAACTGGTGGTATGTCGAAACGGACGCGATCCTGAACTGTTTCTCAACGTGACAACTAGGTGTGCGATAAATATAATGCTGAGTAATTACTGCAAGCAGAGAAATGGCACGTTCAAAGCCAACGCTAAGGCAAGGAAATAATAATAATAAAAACTGTCGCGGCTAAGTGAGGTGCACGGTTTTGTTACAATTGTCCGCAACTGATACCGGCCGCGTTTATGCGTGCAACTTTTGAGTACTTTTTTGCTTTCTGTTCTTCACGTTTATTGGAGTGTGAAAAATGAAATCTTTCCACCACATTTCTGGGATTAATTTCCGCGGATATAAAGGGCGATTTCAAAACCTAGGTAGCAGCGCCTCTCTTCGGTGCTTTTATTTTTTGCCGATTATTAAAAAAAAAACAAAAAAACTTTCAGACTGTTTCTTTCTCAGTGCGCGTAAGCTTGAAAGGCGACGAACTCGCTCTGCCGCGAACGACAGAAAAAATCGAAGCGGTACCGGCGCGGCCGCGGCAGCGACGGTGTGGTCGGACGGGGAGTCATGACGTCGCTGACGTCAGGTCACGTGACGCACAGGCCTGGAGGTGTCTACGAGGTGTTGGTGTAGGGGCCTTCGCACAGGCGGATTCACGCGCCGCGCAGCCTTGTAAACGTGAGCGAAAAAGGAGGGTTGCTCAAGTGGCTCTCAACGGCCCCCTGCCCCTAACCATGTTGCGCCATCTCGTGGCGTTTGCCAAAAATGCGAGCGAACCTTCGCCACACTTGCTCCAGGGCAAGTCAGCGCCATTCAGACACCTATATCTTATTTCACCGTAAACAGGACTCAAGATAATACGATATAACTAGGGTTCTGTTTTTCAGATAACCCGAAAAAATCCGAAAAACAATCGCCGGTAACATGTGCGTCAATTCGGATTTATTCCAAAAACTCAAACTTTCGAGGTCACAATGACGAATCAAAAAGCAAAAAAGACGATTTGATTTTAGAATAAACTTTATAAGAACACAGGGTCAGTGGTCATGGGGAGAAGCCACTTCTGTTTTCTTTTAAATTTCGAACTACTGACGAAAAAAGGTTTGCCTTTCAGCTCGTCAAGCTTTCTTCATGGCAAAATTTATTGTGCCCACACTTCATTTTTTTTTTTTAAATTAGGCACACAGTAAAACAATCTCCGAAGTTCAGAGGATTGCAAAACTAACAAAAATAAACTCCGATAAACCCCGAATTTTCAGAGAAAAAAGTGAAAGCCGTTTACAAATCCCTGTAACGCCGAATTGGAGCGCAGCTCTTGAGGAGGAGGAGTGAAGGGTACTGAGGGGAGGGTAGACCCCTCCTCCTTCTTCTCCTCCTCCCCTCATTCTTTAATATGCTCCGGGGGGGGGGTCACGTGACCCCTGAGGTCACGTGGGGGTCACCTTCGGAGTCACGTGACCTCAAGGTGACCCCCACGTGACCTGGGGGTCACGTGGGGGTCACCTTGAGATGACCTTGGGAGGGGTCACGTGACCTTGGGGAGGAGACCACGTGACCTCGGGGGTCACGTGACCTCAGAGGGGTCACGTGACGGTGGTCACGTGACCTTCAAAGGGTCACGTGGGGTCATCTAGGGGTCACGTGACCTTGAGATGACCTTGGGAGGGGTCACGTGACCTCGAGGGGTCACGTGACCTTCAGGGGGTCACGTGGGGTCACGTGACCTTGAGATGACCTTGGGAGGGGTCACGTGACCTGGAGGGGTCACGTGACCTTGGGGGTCACGTGACCTTGGGATGACCTTGGTTACGCCGACGCCGACGCCGACGCCGACGCCGACGGCGACGCCGCTCAAGCCGGGAACGGGCCCCAAAGAGCTGCGCTCTAAAATAAACTCCGGAAAACACCTTCCGAATTTCACAAGAAATAAACTTAGAAAAAACGGAATCCTAGACAACTGATCAATACCAAAAAAAAAAAAAAAAGCGCGAAAAAAAAAAGGCTTGTTTTTGGTACTATATGGGTAAAAACACGACCCACCGTGTAATTCCAGGTGGGATTCCAGGTGTGCTGCTCGTATTGTAATTCCAGATGAGCCCTGTTAATTCTTATTTGAACGCCGTGCAACTTATCTGCACAAGAAAAGAAAAAAAAGAAGAAACATGTATCGGATGCGAATAGAAATTGCATTGGAACAATGTTATTGCTGTCATTGCGATTACTATAATAATTACGGTGCCAGGAGCCTAATGGATGATGACGTTCCATGGAAGAAGAGGAGGAAGTTCTCAGGCCTCGATAATTTTAGAACTTTTTGGCCAGATGCCCTTTGTTGGTTCGGCACGTAAAACCCTCAAATCGAATACGACAGCCGAATGCCGGACGCAGGTTTTCCGCGTTCTAACCCTTTCGACGAGTGCAGTGGAGACAAAGGCAGCTATAGCCTTAGGTGTACCCTCTCATCCTTCCAACCAAAGCTCGAAGTTCTAACGTCTCCACGCTCTCAGGTCTCCTCCTCTCCCTGAATTTCTGGCCGCATAGTCCGATAGTCCGCACCCAGTGCCTGGTCCACGCAAACAAAATTCGAATTCACAGTACACCTCGACAATACACGTCGGAGAGCATAGGGAAACAACTCACGGAGAGCCCAAGGAACGCGAGGCGTGGTGATCGAGTCCCCGAGCATCTCATTATCGCCCCGCGGCCAATAAGATTGCGGCCTTAGCCGATTAGACCGCCGAGGAACCAATCAGAAGCAAGAATCGTAAACGTAAGAAGCCATGCCAGGTACGTTTCTCAATCTGGCAGTGATTGTGGCACACGAGAAAGCTTGTATAGTACATAGATTATCATTAACATTTTCTGCCATTCGCAAAATGGTCCGGTCATATTAAATGGTGTAGAAAACAACAACAATAACAACAACTTCGCATTGTTCGCACCTCTCGGCCGACCTCACCGCGTAAAATTAATAATTTTAGAAGCATACAATAGTTTGCCTACTATATTCAGTCCGAAATGTACGGTGTAATATGCTTACCCAACAACTCGGCGTCGTTGGAATCGGTCCCGGGCAGAAAAAAATTCGTCGGTCGATTGAGTTTCAGAAAGTCGTTGGAGATAGAGGACACGAAGAAATGCAGCGTGTACTCGAGGTTCGGAGACTTGGCGTCGGTGTCGTCGCCAAAGCGCACGCACACGATGCGGCCCTTGAACTGCCGCAGCGCCCGCAGCTCGGCCATCCTTTTGCGGTACACTTTCACCTGGAGGTCGGACGACACGGTGTCGTTGTCCTCGTCGTCGATATCCGGGATCGCGGTGGCGTTGTCGCACGCCGCAAACACATCCGTGCCCAACTTGAGCGGCATGTGCCCGCAAACCGACTCGTTGTTGTTCGCGCAAGGCTTCACCCCAATGCCCGGAATACCTGGAAAACAATGGACTTTTTCCACATACCGACGGCACCAGGCGGTGGCTGCACGAACTAAAAATCGAGGAAATGACCTATAATTTTAGTGTTGTGTCGTTTACCCGCAGTCTCGGGGTTTTTTCAACCAAGAGACCTACCTGCGCTACCAATCGATAATGGGAGCTACGTTACCAGTTTCTTCGATCCCTGAGCTGCGGCGCGTGCCCAACACGATTTTAAGGAGGGGCATCCTTGGCGTCCACCCAAACGTCGCGTTTTTCTTTCCGTCCACTTTCTTTTTTTTGTGTGTGTGTGTGTAACACAATTATATATACGTTGCAATTACGTGTTCTACTCGCTGATCCACAGTCTCCTTCCAAATTACCTCGATTTTCCATGCCCACTTCCGCCGCTTGGCATCGGGCGCTTGCGCGTGCGCAGAACGCTTCTCCGAAAAGGTTGATCGGTTCTTTCTTGGGCCTAGAGGCGTTTTAAATGCCGAGCATTTCTGTGCTTTGTTTCAGCGTAAGTTCAGACGCAGACGACGCTACGAGCTAATGGGACCAATCAAGCAGCGTCAAAAGCCTAAGTCACTGGGCCTTTCCTTTTTATGACTAGTTCAGCGATCATAGAACACGTACAGAAACATGACGAACACCACTTTGACGTTGCTTGATTTGTCGCACCAGATCAAAACATTGGCTATTTTTTTTCTTTTGTTACATAATAAATTACGCATTGTCAAATGGTCAGTCTCCGCCCATAAGTAGCATTAGAGGTCCGAACCGGATGGCAAAGTTTCTGCACAAACCGTTAACTTATTCAAAAGTTATAAGTGATTTTCTGAAATTTTCAATAGGAAAATGGTGGCCGACGGAGCGAGCTTTCGAACACACGGAGCTCTATGGAGCCAGTTAACGAAAACGGGCAAGAATTGGCGCCATTTTCCCATTGAAAATTTCAGAAGATCACTTATGTCCAAGATAACGGTTAGTGCTGAAACTTAAGCATTTGGTTCAGACATCTAGCGCTACATTTGGGTGGAGAATAAGTGCTCGGCGACGCATAGTTTACGTTTGCGGTGAAAACAAATACAAAAAGACATTGTAATTTTTTGGGGGTCGGACCATCCCGTGCACACATCTCCTTCGCGCTCTTCCGTTTGCTGGCACAAGGAGACCGCTGAAAGACATGTTGTGAGCGTTTTGGAAATACTTAAAGCCGTCACAGTGTCACGTTATATTACGACGTCACGTGACGTCATGGTGTTCCGCTACGTCACGCGCGTCACGGTGTTGCATGTAACCTCAGGGTGTCGATCGTAATGTCGCGAAAAATCTGTATTAAATGTGCAGTTTAAAGAGTTTCTGAAATGAAGTCAGACTGTGACTTCATCGACACTACATGCAGTTAAGTATATAGAAATCATGCTTATTAATTAGGTGTTTTCTTTTGTTAGGAAAGTTTATCTTTCCAGAGTTCAGTCGGCATTTTTTTTTTTTTTTTTTAAGCTTTCTATGTTTGTGTCGGCGGGGCCAGAGCGGCCGCAATGCGGGAGCCGTCCCTCGCGGTCGTTAAGAAGCGTCTCGGGTTTCGGGAGTCTGCTCGGACCGGGACCGAAAGAGCCCGCGCTGGAAGATGCTTGTGGCTTATAACCGAATGTGCGTGTATACAGAGGGTTTTGCCGCTTAGTGTAAAATTTTCCTTTTTGCCCGATGCAATAATTTAGCGGTTGGCGCCGGTCAGGCTGGGAAAATTGCAGAGAACAACTCTACAAGGAATTTAGGTTTGGCGGTTAGGGCGCCAGGATTACAGCTCGCCGACCATTGGAGAACAGTGCACCACGTGTGAGTGGCGGAATTTGAAGAGATTGGTCGGTTCCTGGGGGAAAAGGAGGCCCTTACGGGCCTACAAAAAGAGCGCGGAGAGGATTTTGAGAGATTCGGAATTGGGATTCGATGGAGAGAAATCGAGGACGGGGGTCGATACTTTAGACAAGGAAGGAAGGTCTCCCAAGTTGGGACTTGTAACTAGAGTGTAAATAAATGCACACAGTTCTATTCAAGCAGTGAGTCGACCCGTCACTCAGCGACGTTCGTGCCACCACGCTCCAGACCATCGGAGCGGAACCTGCCTCCCACACCATCGGGAGGAACAACAACAACAACAACAACTTTAACTCATGCCCCGGACACGAAATTTCCAAGAGCGGCCCTATAAACGCATTGCATAAAACAAAAATAATACCGCGATATTTGTTGTCCAAAGCGTTCACCCTGTGCGCCTACTTTCCCTCAAAGCACGTGGAAGAGTCAGTAGCTGCAATCTAGGGTGGAAGTTCGGAAAATGACGACGCTGAAAATATGTTTAAACGTGAAAGAACTATACTCGTTTTCATTTCAAGAACCGCAATAAAAAAAAAAAAGTCCGGTTCCTCGGGGAGCATAACTAATTTCCCTCTTTTACCTAGAAAGTTAAGATGTGTGTTGGTGCATTTTAGATTAGGTCTTTGTTGTCTTACCAAGACGTAGTACACCTTTCCAACGCCAAAAGCATCGCTTCTTCTCCCTCCAACAGCCAAATCTCGCGTAAGAACTATTTCGCGCGACGTACGAGCAATGCGCCACACTTCCTTTTCTTGAGAAGAAAACAAAGGGTGCGCTAATCCTGCTTCGAATTGAATAGCACCACGTCATCCCTAACTTCAAAACTGCAGAGGGAGCCGGTATGTTGGAGACGCAAACGTAATGCTCACTGGCACAGCGCGGACCGGTAATTTCGGTCGAAACGTATTTTCAGCAGCGTCATTGGCAATCCTTCGGTGCCAAATAGACCCTTTCCGAAATTCAGTGCCATCTGGTGGTTTGTAAAGCAGTTTAGGTTTTGCCATATCAATGGCGGAAATGAACATGTATCGGCATCGTCACTTTCGCAAGTCAACAGCACGCGAGGAATTGTTCAGTGAGTTCTTTCTCGATCACTTTCAGTTCGACGGTGACCAAGAACCTGCATTCAGAACAAAGCTCCAACCCGCTCAGATTTCTTGAGAAAATTCTATACACCAAAGTGCTTTAAAGCAGATTGTGTGCCGCACACAGATTGACTGAATCTGAGTTATTAGAAATAAACGCCTTACATAGCTCTTGCGTTCTATTCCTACGTCGCGTCGTACTGACCGCCCGAATGTACAGGCCTCGCAAGATCCGTCTAGGAGCATCTTCAACGTCTTCTTTTATCAGTTACTAGAAGGCCGCCATTGGTATGGCACAGATGCTGTTCCACTGATGATGATAGTAATCAAAGTGGCCAGACTGAATTTCGGAAAGGGTCTATAACGTCTCGGATAACCTCTCACGCAGCCCCTTTTGCGACATCGCCCCTCACGTCGTTCAGTAAGGGTTATACTAGACGTCGTTTTCTTCTCTACCTTCGTAAGAATAATTTTGGACCGATTATTACCGCTAAAAAAGGCGGTACTAAACATTCACGCGTCGTCTGCACGCAAAGAAAGGTCTCGCAAGATATTCTCGTGAGCCATGAGCAGCACCTGCACCCTAAAAAAAAAAAGCGCGTGAGTCTGCTTTCCCGCACAACACTCGGAGAGCCAATCACCGCAACTTATAAAGGCAGCTCAGCAAATGACGATGATCGCATTACCTTAATTGACGCCTCGGTTGCGTCTTGACTTTAGGTGAAACGAAGCAATGGTGGCAATGCTCCCCATAGACTTTCGGTAGTGCTTTTCTACGACGCATAGTGATATGGGAAGACAGTGTTTCTTTGTTGAGCTCGTGCGCTGTGAGCTCCAGAAAAACTAAGAAAACAAAAGGACAGCAAACAAAGGCAAAAGAAGAAAAACGGAAGCGTGCAGGCAGGAGCCCGCCAAAAGATAGCGAGCACAGCCTGAAGAGAGGTCTGTGAGCTCACTTGCCTGCAAAACACTGGACAACGAAACACGGCGAACGATACTAGAGTATGAGCGAGTGACGAAACTCGGTATATTTGGCTGCCTTCGTGTTCTGCAGAAAACCGAGCTCGCGGATATTCTGTTAGAGTGCATGCTTAGAAACAAACACTGGAGAATACAGAGCCATACTTACCGCCGACCATGTCCTGGTGCTCGTGGAAGGCCTTCCGGATCAGATCATCCGTGTAGGGTGTGCTGGGGCCGTACAGGGCCACGGTCCAGTTGAGCGTGTGCGCTAGGGTCACCGGTTCGGCGATGATTGTCCTCGGCTCTTTAAAGTGAAGGGTTCCTGGCTTTGGTCTGCCGAGCTCGTTGATTAGGAAGTAGCAGCTGACCAGCACGAAGACCAGCTCCACAGCCGTGGCCAGGTAGTGTCGCCGGATGGACTGGGTCCACACCACGCGGCTTACAACGGTGAACACCAGGCCCAGCATGGTTCTGCGAGCGCAATCTACGCTTGTTGTTTTTGTTTGACAGCAACAGCTATTATGGACGCTCCTAAAGAACACAGCTATGGCCGTCAGCGAATACTTCGTATGATCATATACAACGCTTGCACGTAAAGTAACTGCACCCTTCTGGTAATCGTTCCTACGTGTTCTTTGCAGAGGAGAACAAAGGCAGTTATGCGAGATGTACGGCGCATTAGGTACAATATTCAACATCTGCAAGACCAGCATATTGGCAGCTAATGTGACGACTTTGACCGCCCAAATATAGCTGTTACAAGCGGGGATAGACCGCACGGCCGGCAGGACGTGGCCGGCTAAGCAGAAACATGACGCCGTCGTTCCTTTCGCTTCAGGAACTGAAGAAGAAGTGTTTTAATGTCTCGTGATGGCAATCGAGGTAACCGACGACTACCGCTATGAAATCTGGTAGCGCTAGCAGCCAGATAGAGATTGTAACAACTCTCCCCCCTTAGAACATTGCAAGCGTAAAAAGAACTAAGGAGAGTAGCGCTGCACGGGTCTTCTAGCCCTTGCGCTACG